CGGTGAGCTCAGTGGGGCAGCGAGCGAGGAAGTGGTCCCTGACCGCACGAAGAGAGTCAGGGAGACGGGTGACAAGGTGGTAGAGAGTGAGCCAGAGCGGGGGGGGGTGGGTGGCAAGAAACTCAGCGGGCATAGTGGCACGGAAGCGAGCCTCACTAGTGCGGAGGTGCGTGGTGAGGTCAGCTACTGTGGCGAAAGCGGACAGGTCTGGGAACAGGTAGGGGAGCGAGAGACGGCCTAGCGCAGCAGAGGCAGGTGAGGAGTAGCGTGCAACTACAGCAGTGTACAGTGCCTGCGCAGTTTTGTGCTGGCCAAAGTGCTCGCGCTCATCTACCGGCAGGGAGTTGCGAATAGCAAAGCGAGCATGGGCGTCACGAGTCTGCCACTGGGAGCGAGCAGTACTGTCAGCAGTAACAGCAGGGGCAGCAGCATTGCCTAGCGCGTGATCGTACAGCGAGATGTCCTCCTTGGCAGTGAGCTGGAGGAACAGGTGCAAGTCATCTAGCCAGGTGTCAAACTTCAGTGGGCGGCCCTCAGCATCGAAAGCGAGTACAGCAGGGCTAGCCATAGTTGCAGTAAGAGCAGTAGTAACAGCAGGAACAGTAGCAGTAGTAGCAGCAGGCGAAACCCTAAAAGCAGCAGGCAGCGCGACTCAGGTAGGGCGGCTCGGTCCAGAGAGGGCTGCTCAGTACGGGGAGGGCGGCGCGGCTCGGCTCGGGCTGGGCGGCTCGGTTCGGGCGGCTCGGTTCGGGCGGCTCGGTTCTGGCGGGGCCGTGGCTGTCGCGTGCGGGGCTGCTGGGGCTGCTGTGCATGGCGCTAAGGGGCGGCGTGTGGGGTCGACGGGGCCGACGGGGCCGCTAATGGGGGCGCGCACGGGGTCGACGGGGCCAACGGGGCCGCTAGGTGGGGCGCGCGCGGGGTCGACGGGGCCGACGGGGCCTCTAAGGGGCTGCGCGCGGGGTCGACGGGGCCGTGTGGTGGGCCGCTAAGGGGCGGCGAGTGGGGTCGACGGGGCCGACGGGGCCGCTAAGGGGGGCGCGCACGGGGTCGACGGGGCCGACGGGGCCGCTAGGTGGGGCGCGCGCGGGGTCGACGGGGCCGACGGGGCCTCTAAGGGGCTGCGCGCGGGGTCGACGCGGCCGTGAGAGGGGCCTCTAAGGGGCGGCGCGCGGGTCGCTAAGGGGCGGGTCGCGGGTCGCGGGGCCTTACGGGGCCGTTAAAGAGGGGCGCACGAGGGCACTAGGGGAGACGCTCGAGGGCGCTCCGACAGTAGGGCGCACGAGGGCGCTAGTAGGCAGTCAGCAGTGGTGGGCCCTAAAAAATCGGTCCTAGCGGAGGACCTGCTCTGAAACCATGTAAGAAAGAACGAAACAGGAATGAATGAACTAGCACAAAGTTGGGTACAAGTAGGAAACCCTAAGTTTGTGTACCCCCTAAGGCTAAACCCACTATAGCCTACACAATGTAAACATACAATGTTTGACATTGTGGTGAGACGCGAACGGTTGATGTGGTAAGTCAGCTTCGGGACAGGTGAAGCATGGTCCTCGAGCTCGCTGAAGTTCTCTGCCGTCAGTTAGGAGTAGAGAGTCTTTATCGAGCACACCTGCTCTTATCGTGTTGTTTAACACCGTGTTGCTTGGATGTCCCATTCTTGCGTGCCAGGTTCCTTCGGTGGCGCGATGTCCGGGTGAGCGCCGATACATATCAGAGTTGGAATAGAAGTTGGCGGTGAAGTTGGTGCTTCGATGAACTTCTCGTGGTGCTGGGTGTAGTTGTTGCGCGGGTGTCGGTGGTGTGTCGTTTACGAGGAGTGGTGCCGTTGAAGGACCAGCGACTGGCGTTGACGTTCCTGCTGCTGCCGATGTTGTTTCTGCTGCTGCCGATGTTGTCTCTGCTGCTGCCGATGTTGTCTCTGCTGCTGCAGATGTTGTCTCTGCTGCTGCCGATGCTGTCTCTGTTGCTGCCGATGTTGTCTCTGCTGTTGTCTCTGCTGCTGCCGATGTTGTTTGAATTGTTGCTAACGCCCTTGTTCTTTCTGCCTCAGGGATGGTGTGTGAATACCAGAAGCCGCCGGGGCTGAAGTCTGGATCAAGGTCTGGAGGGTGGGTCCAGGAAGTGAAGGTGACGATGCCGCCGCTGTCTGCTGTGCCGAGATCTGGAACAAAATCAAGAACGAAGACGTTATTTTTCAGGATCGCCTTTCCGATGTAGAGACCGCCCTTCCCGTGGTACAGCTTGAACTCCTGAGTGGTGCTGTCTGCTTCAAGGTGGATACCTTTAGCCATCAGTTGGCTAACGCTGAGTAAGTTGTAGCCGAGGCCTTCTGCGATTAAGACCTTGGACATTTGTAGTATGACATTTGTCTCTCGTGACTGAAGTTGAACGATTCCTTGTCGTCGTGTGCGCAGGCTTTCGTTGTTGGCAACGGTGATGACTACTTCGCGTTGGAGTTGGTTCTCTCGTTGCACGAAGCGTCCTGAAGAACATATGTGTTGTCCGCAGCAACTGTCCAAGAACCACGTGTCCTTTCCGGATGGTTCGCTTTGGGCGATGGCTGCGTATGTCGGATTCGGCTGGAGTGAATCGCGGTGAGGTGTGGTGCCGTCGAGTTGTTCTTCCGGTGAGTAGTACGGTGGTGATCCCGTGATGCAAGAGTCGCTCAGTCTTGCCATGCAACTGACGATGTTCCTTGCTCCTTGTGCAGGTTGTCCTGTTGAGGTCGTTGAGGCTTTAATCTGGGTCGTGGGATTTGCTTGTGTTGAGGCGACTTGATTGCTTGAAGGTCGAAGCTGTCGCTGTGAAGGCGTTGACTGTTGTCGATTCGGGCAGTGCGTGCGCGGGTGCCCTGACGTCTTGCAGATGTGGTAGAACGGAGGTACGGGCTTCGGTTGTTGTTGTTTGTTGTTGTTGTAGCGTCGCTGAGTGTGAAATGCAAATTCCGGTGCTAATGTCTTCTTCTTGTGTCGTTCTTCTTGCAGGTCCATGTCTTGCTGCTCGGCGTGGATTTCGGCGCAGAGCGCTGCTTCGGAGATTCTTCCATGGGCTCGGAGAATGGCCTTTGTGGCGCGCCATTGAGGACCGAGGCCGCCAATGATAACTGTCACGAAGGCGTCTTCAGATATCGACCCTCCGCATCGAAGAAGCTTGTCGCGCAACTCGCGACATCGGCTGATATACGCCATTCCTTTCTCGCCTGATTTTCATTTCGACCGTTGTCAGTTGCGCCATTAACCGACTTTGATTTACGCTGTCTGTTGCTTGATACAGGCTCTTCAAGTGGTTGTATGCGAGCTCCGCGGAGTTGCCGTAACCCCGGTAAGACCATATATTCTGCTGTTGAGTCGGGGTGATGTTTCTCAGTAGAATCGTGTACGCCATCATCGACTGATAGGTGTACTGCTGCTTCTCATACGGTGTGCCGTTTGTTGGGTATTGCAGGGACCCGTCGAAGAAGCCAAGTATCTGCGCGCCTTCCATCATTAACTCGAATTCAAACGACCAGGTGAAGAAATCCTTTCCATCGAAAGGTCTTGACGTCTGCATCTTCAGAACGTGCGCGAACTGCGACTGAACTTGTAATGCGTCCAGTGGCTTTTCTTGTCCAGGTGAAGGCTGCGGGTGTGGCATAAAGCTAATGGACCCGCGCTCATACGGAGCAAAGGTAGGCTGCTGCTGTTGATTTCCTCGTGCGTATGATGAGCCGTCGAGACTCATGGGAGTTGCTCCGTTGTTGTTGCTATTATGTGACTGCGCAGGTGCCGATTGCTGGTGTTGCTCGTAGAAAGACATGAAGGAGAAGAACTTCTCCATCATACTTGGGTCGAAGCCCGCGGCTTGGTTTGCGGGAGTTTCGGTGGATGTTGCCCTGGGTCTTGTTGCCGTACCCTCCTCTGTCTGTAGACCAGAGGCAGGAGGTGGAGTAGGAGTAGTGCCCTGGGAGCCGTTGGAGGAGCTCCTTTCCTTTTGTGTAGCCATGCCTGTTGATGTTGTAGGTGTCTTGATAGTTGAATTCCCCCTGATAGCTCTCATACCATGTTGGGCTGAGAAAATAGCCCTTAGGATCTTTGCAGGGGTGAACTCTGGGTAGGACTGATGTAATAGCGGAAGCTTTAATGAAGTAATTGAACCACCTTGCGCTAGTATGTGAGGGCAAAGTATATTAATTAAAACAGAGAGATACAAGATTATATATAAGAGTACAAGGAATATGAAGGGTTACAGTTATAACTGTTTTACTGTTGCTGTTGCGGTTCGATACAGTGACGACTCGGGCAACTGCTCTGTAGCGAGTCAGTTGTGTGTCCTTGCTGTCGCGCTGTACTCTGTCAGGTCAAAGGACGCTGACCTTTGGCTTTCGCGTAACCTCCAACAGTTGCTTTCAACCTCCGAGGGTTGACTCGCCGGTGCTTCGATATGCTTCGCTTCGTTTGTGCCTTAGTGTTTCGACACGACAGAGGCGCTTAAGATCGATTGTTTCCAACAAAGGGCACATAACTTCATACCTATATGCATTCCGTCTCTTATTGATCTTGCTGCTCTTGATCCACTCTAAAAAGTTGAAGGCTACTCTGCTGCCTTGTAGACTTGAATGGAACATATATCAGGCTAAGCTACAAGTGTACGGTATCATTTGCCTGTTAGCATCATCAGGTAACAGTGAGACAACGAACGGGTAACAGGACCAGGGCTGTTGAGGGGGCAGTGTCATTGGTCAGGCACTTGTGTAAGAAAGTTCTTCTTCACCTGCAGTCACGGGAGCGAGCAGTGGAGAGAGCGATTCCGGCACATGGCAAGCAGCAAGCATGCAAGGACGCACAGCCATCCATTAGCCACAGCATGGGGGTCCGTGGCACAGGAGGGGGGTCCGTGGCACAGCATGGGGGTCCGTGGCACAGCATGGGGGTCCGTGGCACAGGATGGGGGTCCGTGGCACGGGCAGCTACGAGCATGAGCGGGACAGATGGGCGCATGGAGCATGAGTGCCGGACAAAAGCACTTCAACAGAACGTGGCTAGCGTGAATGCAGACTGGATGTGAGTGCGGAGTTTCGAGAGGATGTGACTAGAGTGAGCGTGGGCACTGCGTGTCCTGGAGGGCAGAGAATGTGTGGTGCATGGAGAGGAGGGCAGCGCGGTTGACTGGAGGGCGGAACGCACCTGCTCGAGGGTGAGGGCGGAACGCACCTGCTCGAGGGTGAGGGCGGAACGCACCTGCTCGAGGGTGAGGGCGGAACGCACCTGCTCGAGGGTGAGGGCGGAACGCACCTGCTCGAGGGTGAGGGCGGAACGCACCTGCTCGAGGGTGAGGGCGAAACGCACCTGCTCGAGGGTGAGGGCGGAACGCACCTGCTCGAGGGTGAGGGCGGAACGCACCTGCTCGAGCGTGAGGGCGGAACGCACCTGCTCGAGGGTGAGGGCGGAACGCACCTGCTCGAGGGTGAGGGCGGAACGCACCTGCTCGAGGGTGAGGGCGGAACGCACCTGCTCGAGGGTGAGGGCGGAACGCACCTGCTCGAGGGTGAGGGCGGAACGCACCTGCTCGAGGGTGAGGGCGGAACGCACCTGCTCGAGGGTGAGGGCGGAACGCACCTGCTCGAGGGTGAGGGCGGAACGCACCTGCTCGAGGGTGAGGGCGGAACGCACCTGCTCGAGCGTGAGGGCGGAACGCACCTGCTCGAGGGTGAGGGCGGAACGCACCTGCTCGAGCGTGAGGGCGGAACGCACCTGCTCGAGGGTGAGGGCGGAACGCACCTGCTCGAGCGTGAGGGCGGAACGCACCTGCTCAAGCGTGAGGGCGGAACGCACCTGCTCGAGCGTGAGGGCGGAACGCACCTGCTCGAGAGTGAGGGCGGAACGCACCTGCTCGAGGGTGAGGGCGGAACGCACCTGCTCGAGGGTGAGGGCGGAACGCACCTGCTCGAGGGTGAGGGCGGAACGCACCTGCTCGAGGGTGAGGGCGGAACGCACCTGCTCGAGGGTGAGGGCGGAACGCACCTGCTCGAGGGTGAGGGCGGAACGCACCTGCTCGAGGGTGAGGGCGGAACGCACCTGCTCGAGGGTGAGGGCGGAACGCACCTGCTCGAGGGTGAGGGCGGAACGCACCTGCTCGAGGGTGAGGGCGGAACGCACCTGCTCGAGGGTGAGGGCGGAACGCACCTGCTCGAGGGTGAGGGCGGAACGCACCTGCTCGAGGGTGAGGGCGGAACGCACCTGCTCGAGGGTGAGGGCGGAACGCACCTGCTCGAGGGTGAGGGCGGAACGCACCTGCTCGAGGGTGAGGGCGGAACGCACCTGCTCGAGGGTGAGGGCGGAACGCACCTGCTCGAGGGTGAGGGCGGAACGCACCTGCTCGAGGGTGAGGGCGGAACGCACCTGCTCGAGGGTGAGGGCGGAACGCACCTGCTCGAGGGTGAGGGCGGAACGCACCTGCTCGAGCGTGAGGGCGGAACGCACCTGCTCGAGGGTGAGGGCGGAACGCACCTGCTCGAGCGTGAGGGCGGAACGCACCTGCTCGAGCGTGAGGGCGGAACGCACCTGCTCGAGGGTGAGGGCGGAACGCACCTGCTCGAGGGTGAGGGCGGAACGCACCTGCTCGAGGGTGAGGGCGGAACGCACCTGCTCGAGGGTGAGGGCGGAACGCACCTGCTCGAGGGTGAGGGCGGAACGCACCTGCTCGAGCGTGAGGGCGGAACGCACCTGCTCGAGCGTGAGGGCGGAACGCACCTGCTCGAGGGTGAGGGCGGAACGCACCTGCTCGAGCGTGAGGGCGGAACGCACCTGCTCGAGCGTGAGGGCGGAACGCACCTGCTCGAGCGTGAGGGCGGAACGCACCTGCTCGAGAGTGAGGGCGGAACGCACCTGCTCGAGGGTGAGGGCGGAACGCACCTGCTCGAGGGTGAGGGCGGAACGCACCTGCTCGAGGGTGAGGGCGGAACGCACCTGCTCGAGGGTGAGGGCGGAACGCACCTGCTCGAGGGTGAGGGCGGAACGCACCTGCTCGAGGGTGAGGGCGGAACGCACCTGCTCGAGGGTGAGGGCGGAACGCACCTGCTCGAGGGTGAGGGCGGAACGCACCTGCTCGAGGGTGAGGGCGGAACGCACCTGCTCGAGGGTGAGGGCGGAACGCACCTGCTCGAGGGTGAGGGCGGAACGCACCTGCTCGAGGGTGAGGGCGGAACGCACCTGCTCGAGGGTGAGGGCGGAACGCACCTGCTCGAGGGTGAGGGCGGAACGCACCTGCTCGAGGGTGAGGGCGGAACGCACCTGCTCGAGGGTGAGGGCGGAACGCACCTGCTCGAGGGTGAGGGCGGAACGCACCTGCTCGAGGGTGAGGGCGGAACGCACCTGCTCGAGGGTGAGGGCGGAACGCACCTGCTCGAGGGTGAGGGCGGAACGCACCTGCTCGAGGGTGAGGGCGGAACGCACCTGCTCGAGCGTGAGGGCGGAACGCACCTGCTCGAGGGTGAGGGCGGAACGCACCTGCTCGAGCGTGAGGGCGGAACGCACCTGCTCGAGCGTGAGGGCGGAACGCACCTGCTCGAGGGTGAGGGCGGAACGCACCTGCTCGAGGGTGAGGGCGGAACGCACCTGCTCGAGGGTGAGGGCGGAACGCACCTGCTCGAGGGTGAGGGCGGAACGCACCTGCTCGAGGGTGAGGGCGGAACGCACCTGCTCGAGCGTGAGGGCGGAACGCACCTGCTCGAGCGTGAGGGCGGAACGCACCTGCTCGAGGGTGAGGGCGGAACGCACCTGCTCGAGGGTGAGGGCGGAACGCACCTGCTCGAGGGTGAGGGCGGAACGCACCTGCTCGAGGGTGAGGGCGGAACGCACCTGCTCGAGCGTGAGGGCGGAACGCACCTGCTCGAGGGTGAGGGCGGAACGCACCTGCTCGAGCGTGAGGGCGGAACGCACCTGCTCGAGCGTGAGGGCGGAACGCACCTGCTCGAGCGTGAGGGCGGAACGCACCTGCTTGAGAGTGAGGGCGGAACGCACCTGCTCGAGGGTGAGGGCGGAACGCACCTGCTCGAGGGTGAGGGCGGAACGCACCTGCTCGAGGGTGAGGGCGGAACGCACCTGCTCGAGCGTGAGGGCGGAACGCACCTGCTCGAGGGTGAGGGCGGAACGCACCTGCTCGAGCGTGAGGGCGGAACGCACCTGCTCGAGCGTGAGGGCGGAACGCACCTGCTCGAGGGTGAGGGCGGAACGCACCTGCTCGAGGGTGAGGGCGGAACGCACCTGCTCGAGGGTGAGGGCGGAACGCACCTGCTCGAGGGTGAGGGCGGAACGCACCTGCTCGAGCGTGAGGGCGGAACGCACCTGCTCGAGGGTGAGGGCGGAACGCACCTGCTCGAGCGTGAGGGCGGAACGCACCTGCTCGAGCGTGAGGGCGGAACGCACCTGCTCGAGGGTGAGGGCGGAACGCACCTGCTCGAGCGTGAGGGCGGAACGCACCTGCTCGAGGGTGAGGGCGGAACGCACCTGCTCGAGCGTGAGGGCGGAACGCACCTGCTCGAGCGTGAGGGCGGAACGCACCTGCTCGAGGGTGAGGGCGGAACGCACCTGCTCGAGGGTGAGGGCGGAACGCACCTGCTCGAGGGTGAGGGCGGAACGCACCTGCTCGAGGGTGAGGGCGGAACGCACCTGCTCGAGGGTGAGGGCGGAACGCACCTGCTCGAGCGTGAGGGCGGAACGCACCTGCTCGAGCGTGAGGGCGGAACGCACCTGCTCGAGGGTGAGGGCGGAACGCACCTGCTCGAGGGTGAGGGCGGAACGCACCTGCTCGAGGGTGAGGGCGGAACGCACCTGCTCGAGGGTGAGGGCGGAACGCACCTGCTCGAGCGTGAGGGCGGAACGCACCTGCTCGAGGGTGAGGGCGGAACGCACCTGCTCGAGCGTGAGGGCGGAACGCACCTGCTCGAGCGTGAGGGCGGAACGCACCTGCTCGAGCGTGAGGGCGGAACGCACCTGCTCGAGAGTGAGGGCGGAACGCACCTGCTCGAGGGTGAGGGCGGAACGCACCTGCTCGAGGGTGAGGGCGGAACGCACCTGCTCGAGGGTGAGGGCGGAACGCACCTGCTCGAGCGTGAGGGCGGAACGCACCTGCTCGAGGGTGAGGGCGGAACGCACCTGCTCGAGCGTGAGGGCGGAACGCACCTGCTCGAGCGTGAGGGCGGAACGCACCTGCTCGAGCGTGAGGGCGGAACGCACCTGCTTGAGAGTGAGGGCGGAACGCACCTGCTCGAGGGTGAGGGCGGAACGCACCTGCTCGAGGGTGAGGGCGGAACGCACCTGCTCGAGGGTGAGGGCGGAACGCACCTGCTCGAGCGTGAGGGCGGAACGCACCTGCTCGAGGGTGAGGGCGGAACGCACCTGCTCGAGCGTGAGGGCGGAACGCACCTGCTCGAGCGTGAGGGCGGAACGCACCTGCTCGAGGGTGAGGGCGGAACGCACCTGCTCGAGGGTGAGGGCGGAACGCACCTGCTCGAGCGTGAGGGCGGAACGCACCTGCTCGAGGGTGAGGGCGGAACGCACCTGCTCGAGCGTGAGGGCGGAACGCACCTGCTCGAGCGTGAGGGCGGAACGCACCTGCTCGAGGGTGAGGGCGGAACGCACCTGCTCGAGGGTGAGGGCGGAACGCACCTGCTCGAGGGTGAGGGCGGAACGCACCTGCTCGAGGGTGAGGGCGGAACGCACCTGCTCGAGGGTGAGGGCGGAACGCACCTGCTCGAGCGTGAGGGCGGAACGCACCTGCTCGAGGGTGAGGGCGGAACGCACCTGCTCGAGCGTGAGGGCGGAACGCACCTGCTCGAGCGTGAGGGCGGAACGCACCTGCTCGAGGGTGAGGGCGGAACGCACCTGCTCGAGGGTGAGGGCGGAACGCACCTGCTCGAGGGTGAGGGCGGAACGCACCTGCTCGAGGGTGAGGGCGGAACGCACCTGCTCGAGGGTGAGGGCGGAACGCACCTGCTCGAGCGTGAGGGCGGAACGCACCTGCTCGAGCGTGAGGGCGGAACGCACCTGCTCGAGGGTGAGGGCGGAACGCACCTGCTCGAGGGTGAGGGCGGAACGCACCTGCTCGAGGGTGAGGGCGGAACGCACCTGCTCGAGGGTGAGGGCGGAACGCACCTGCTCGAGCGTGAGGGCGGAACGCACCTGCTCGAGGGTGAGGGCGGAACGCACCTGCTCGAGCGTGAGGGCGGAACGCACCTGCTCGAGCGTGAGGGCGGAACGCACCTGCTCGAGCGTGAGGGCGGAACGCACCTGCTTGAGAGTGAGGGCGGAACGCACCTGCTCGAGGGTGAGGGCGGAACGCACCTGCTCGAGGGTGAGGGCGGAACGCACCTGCTCGAGGGTGAGGGCGGAACGCACCTGCTCGAGCGTGAGGGCGGAACGCACCTGCTCGAGGGTGAGGGCGGAACGCACCTGCTCGAGCGTGAGGGCGGAACGCACCTGCTCGAGCGTGAGGGCGGAACGCACCTGCTCGAGGGTGAGGGCGGAACGCACCTGCTCGAGGGTGAGGGCGGAACGCACCTGCTCGAGGGTGAGGGCGGAACGCACCTGCTCGAGGGTGAGGGCGGAACGCACCTGCTCGAGCGTGAGGGCGGAACGCACCTGCTCGAGGGTGAGGGCGGAACGCACCTGCTCGAGCGTGAGGGCGGAACGCACCTGCTCGAGCGTGAGGGCGGAACGCACCTGCTCGAGGGTGAGGGCGGAACGCACCTGCTCGAGCGTGAGGGCGGAACGCACCTGCTCGAGGGTGAGGGCGGAACGCACCTGCTCGAGCGTGAGGGCGGAACGCACCTGCTCGAGCGTGAGGGCGGAACGCACCTGCTCGAGGGTGAGGGCGGAACGCACCTGCTCGAGGGTGAGGGCGGAACGCACCTGCTCGAGGGTGAGGGCGGAACGCACCTGCTCGAGGGTGAGGGCGGAACGCACCTGCTCGAGGGTGAGGGCGGAACGCACCTGCTCGAGCGTGAGGGCGGAACGCACCTGCTCGAGCGTGAGGGCGGAACGCACCTGCTCGAGGGTGAGGGCGGAACGCACCTGCTCGAGGGTGAGGGCGGAACGCACCTGCTCGAGGGTGAGGGCGGAACGCACCTGCTCGAGGGTGAGGGCGGAACGCACCTGCTCGAGCGTGAGGGCGGAACGCACCTGCTCGAGGGTGAGGGCGGAACGCACCTGCTCGAGCGTGAGGGCGGAACGCACCTGCTCGAGCGTGAGGGCGGAACGCACCTGCTCGAGCGTGAGGGCGGAACGCACCTGCTCGAGAGTGAGGGCGGAACGCACCTGCTCGAGGGTGAGGGCGGAACGCACCTGCTCGAGGGTGAGGGCGGAACGCACCTGCTCGAGGGTGAGGGCGGAACGCACCTGCTCGAGCGTGAGGGCGGAACGCACCTGCTCGAGGGTGAGGGCGGAACGCACCTGCTCGAGCGTGAGGGCGGAACGCACCTGCTCGAGCGTGAGGGCGGAACGCACCTGCTCGAGGGTGAGGGCGGAACGCACCTGCTCGAGGGTGAGGGCGGAACGCACCTGCTCGAGGGTGAGGGCGGAACGCACCTGCTCGAGGGTGAGGGCGGAACGCACCTGCTCGAGCGTGAGGGCGGAACGCACCTGCTCGAGGGTGAGGGCGGAACGCACCTGCTCGAGCGTGAGGGCGGAACGCACCTGCTCGAGCGTGAGGGCGGAACGCACCTGCTCGAGCGTGAGGGCGGAACGCACCTGCTCGAGAGTTGAGGGCGGAACGCACCTGCTCGAGGGTGAGGGCGGAACGCACCTGCTCGAGGGTGAGGGCGGAACGCACCTGCTCGAGGGTGAGGGCGGAACGCACCTGCTCGAGGATGAGGGCGGAACGCACCTGCTCGAGGGTGAGGGCGGAACGCACCTGCTCGAGGGTGAGGGCGGAACGCACCTGCTCGAGGGTGAGGGCGGAACGCACCTGCTCGAGCGTGAGGGCGGAACGCACCTGCTCGAGGGTGAGGGCGGAACGCACCTGCTCGAGGGTGAGGGCGGAACGCACCTGCTCGAGGGTGAGGGCGGAACGCACCTGCTCGAGCGTGAGGGCGGAACGCACCTGCTCGAGGGTGAGGGCGGAACGCACCTGCTCGAGGGTGAGGGCGGAACGCACCTGCTCGAGGGTGAGGGCGGAACGCACTTGCTCGAGGGTGAGGGCGGAACGCACCTGCTCGAGGGTGAGGGCGGAACGCACCTGCTCGAGGGTGAGGGCGGAACGCACCTGCTCGAGGGTGAGGGCGGAACGCACCTGCTCGAGGGTGAGGGCGGAACGCACCTGCTCGAGGGTGAGGGCGGAACGCACCTGCTCGAGGGTGAGGGCGGAACGCACCTGCTCGAGGGTGAGGGCGGAACGCACCTGCTCGAGGGTGAGGGCGGAACGCACCTGCTCGAGGGTGAGGGCGGAACGCACCTGCTCGAGGGTGAGGGCGGAACGCACCTGCTCGAGGGTGAGGGCGGAACGCACCTGCTCGAGGGTGAGGGCGGAACGCACCTGCTCGAGGGTGAGGGCGGAACGCACCTGCTCGAGGGTGAGGGCGGAACGCACCTGCTCGAGGGTGAGGGCGGAACGCACCTGCTCGAGGGTGAGGGCGGAACGCACCTGCTCGAGGGTGAGGGCGGAACGCACCTGCTCGAGGGTGAGGGCGGAACGCACCTGCTCGAGGGTGAGGGCGGAACGCACCTGCTCGAGGGTGAGGGCGGAACGCACCTGCTCGAGGGTGAGGGCGGAACGCACCTGCTCGAGCGTGAGGGCGGAACGCACCTGCTCGAGGGTGAGGGCGGAACGCACCTGCTCGAGCGTGAGGGCGGAACGCACCTGCTCGAGCGTGAGGGCGGAACGCACCTGCTCGAGCGTGAGGGCGGAACGCACCTGCTCGAGAGTGAGGGCGGAACGCACCTGCTCGAGGGTGAGGGCGGAACGCACCTGCTCGAGGGTGAGGGCGGAACGCACCTGCTCGAGGGTGAGGGCGGAACGCACCTGCTCGAGGGTGAGGGCGGAACGCACCTGCTCGAGGGTGAGGGCGGAACGCACCTGCTCGAGGGTGAGGGCGGAACGCACTTGCTCGAGGGTGAGGGCGGAACGCACCTGCTCGAGGGTGAGGGCGGAACGCACCTGCTCGAGGGTGAGGGCGGAACGCACCTGCTCGAGGGTGAGGGCGGAACGCACCTGCTCGAGGGTGAGGGCGGAACGCACCTGCTCGAGGGTGAGGGCGGAACGCACCTGCTCGAGGGTGAGGGCGGAACGCACCTGCTCGAGGGTGAGGGCGGAACGCACCTGCTCGAGGGTGAGGGCGGAACGCACCTGCTCGAGCGTGAGGGCGGAACGCACCTGCTCGAGGGTGAGGGCGGAACGCACCTGCTCGAGCGTGAGGGCGGAACGCACCTGCTCGAGCGTGAGGGCGGAACGCACCTGCTCGAGCGTGAGGGCGGAACGCACCTGCTCGAGAGTGAGGGCGGAACGCACCTGCTCGAGGGTGAGGGCGGAACGCACCTGCTCGAGGGTGAGGGCGGAACGCACCTGCTCGAGGGTGAGGGCGGAACGCACCTGCTCGAGGGTGAGGGCGGAACGCACCTGCTCGAGGGTGAGGGCGGAACGCACCTGCTCGAGGGTGAGGGCGGAACGCACCTGCTCGAGGGTGAGGGCGGATTGCACCTGCTCGAGGGTGAGGGCGGAACGCACCTGCTCGAGGGTGAGGGCGGAACGCACCTGCTCGAGGGTGAGGGCGGAACGCACCTGCTCGAGGGTGAGGGCGGAACGCACCTGCTCGAGGGTGAGGGCGGAACGCACCTGCTCGAGGGTGAGGGCGGAACGCACCTGCTCGAGGGTGAGGGCGGAACGCACCTGCTCGAGGGTGAGGGCGGAACGCACCTGCTCGAGCGTGAGGGCGGAACGCACCTGCTCGAGCGTGAGGGCGGAACGCACCTGCTCGAGGGTGAGGGCGGAACGCACCTGCTCGAGGGTGAGGGCGGAACGCACCTGCTCGAGGGTGAGGGCGGAACGCACCTGCTCGAGGGTGAGGGCGGAACGCACCTGCTCGAGCGTGAGGGCGGAACGCACCTGCTCGAGGGTGAGGGCGGAACGCACCTGCTCGAGGGTGAGGGCGGAACGCACCTGCTCGAGGGTGAGGGCGGAACGCACCTGCTCGAGCGTGAGGGCGGAACGCACCTGCTCGAGCGTGAGGGCGGAACGCACCTGCTCGAGCGTGAGGGCGGAACGCACCTGCTCGAGAGTGAGGGCGGAACGCACCTGCTCGAGGGTGAGGGCGGAACGCACCTGCTCGAGGGTGAGGGCGGAACGCACCTGCTCGAGGGTGAGGGCGGAACGCACCTGCTCGAGGGTGAGGGCGGAACGCACCTGCTCGAGGGTGAGGGCGGAACGCACCTGCTCGAGGGTGAGGGCGGAACGCACCTGCTCGAGGGTGAGGGCGGAACGCACCTGCTCGAGGGTGAGGGCGGAACGCACCTGCTCGAGGGTGAGGGCGGAACGCACCTGCTCGAGGGTGAGGGCGGAACGCACCTGCTCGAGCGTGAGGGCGGAACGCACCTGCTCGAGGGTGAGGGCGGAACGCACCTGCTCGAGGGTGAGGGCGGAACGCACCTGCTCGAGGGTGAGGGCGGAACGCACCTGCTCGAGCGTGAGGGCGGAACGCACCTGCTCGAGCGTGAGGGCGGAACGCACCTGCTCGAGGGTGAGGGCGGAACGCACCTGCTCGAGGGTGAGGGCGGAACGCACCTGCTCGAGCGTGAGGGCAGAACGCACCTGCTCGAGCGTGAGGGCAGAACGCACCTGCTCGAGGGTGAGGGCGGAACGCACCTGCTCGAGGGTGAGGGCGGAACGCACCTGCTCGAGCGTGAGGGCAGAACGCACCTGCTCGAGCGTGAGGGCGGAACGCACCTGCTCGAGGGTGAGGGCGGAACGCACCTGCTCGAGGGTGAGGGCGGAACGCACCTGCTCGAGGGTGAGGGCGGAACGCACCTGCTCGAGCGTGAGGGCGGATCTCACCTGCTCGAGGGTGAGGGCGGAACGCACCTGCTCGAGGGTGAGGGCGGAACGCACCTGCTCGAGGGTGAGGGCGGAACGCACCTGCTCGAGCGTGAGGGCGGAACGCACCTGCTCGAGCGTGAGGGCGGAACGCACCTGCTCGAGGGTGAGGGCGGAACGCACCTGCTCGAGGGTGAGGGCGGAACGCACCTGCTCGAGCGTGAGGGCAGAACGCACCTGCTCGAGCGTGAGGGCAGAACGCACCTGCTCGAGGGTGAGGGCGGAACGCACCTGCTCGAGGGTGAGGGCGGAACGCACCTGCTCGAGCGTGAGGGCAGAACGCACCTGCTCGAGCGTGAGGGCGGAACGCACCTGCTCGAGCGTGAGGGCGGAACGCACCTGCTCGAGGGTGAGGGCGGAACGCACCTGCTCGAGGGTGAGGGCGGAACGCACCTGCTCGAGGGTGAGGGCGGAACGCACCTGCTCGAGGGTGAGGGCGGAACGCACCTGCTCGAGGGTGAGGGCGGAACGCACCTGCTCGAGCGTGAGGGCAGAACGCACCTGCTCGAGCGTGAGGGCAGAACGCACCTGCTCGAGGGTGAGGGCGGAACGCACCTGCTCGAGGGTGAGGGCGGAACGCACCTGCTCGAGCGTGAGGGCAGAACGCACCTGCTCGAGCGTGAGGGCGGAACGCACCTGCTCGAGGGTGAGGGCGGAACGCACCTGCTCGAGGGTGAGGGCGGAACGCACCTGCTCGAGGGTGAGGGCGGAACGCACCTGCTCGAGCGTGAGGGCGGAACGCACCTGCTCGAGGGTGAGGGCGGAACGCACCTGCTCGAGGGTGAGGGCGGAACGCACCTGCTCGAGGGTGAGGGCGGAACGCACCTGCTCGAGCGTGAGGGCGGAACGCACCTGCTCGAGCGTGAGGGCGGAACGCACCTGCTCGAGGGTGAGGGCGGAACGCACCTGCTCGAGGGTGAGGGCGGAACGCACCTGCTCGAGCGTGAGGGCGGAACGCACCTGCTCGAGGGTGAGGGCGGAACGCACCTGCTCGAGGGTGAGGGCGGAACGCACCTGCTCGAGGGTGAGGGCGGAACGCACCTGCTCGAGGGTGAGGGCGGAACGCACCTGCTCGAGGGTGAGGGCGGAACGCACCTGCTCGAGGGTGAGGGCGGAACGCACCTGCTCGAGGGTGAGGGCGGAACGCACCTGCTCGAGGGTGAGGGCGGAACGCACCTGCTCGAGGGTGAGGGCGGAACGCACCTGCTCGAGCGTGAGGGCGGAACGCACCTGCTCGAGGGTGAGGGCGGAACGCACCTGCTCGAGCGTGAGGGCGGAACGCACCTGCTCGAGGGTGAGGGCGGAACGCACCTGCTCGAGCGTGAGGGCGGAACGCACCTGCTCGAGCGTGAGGGCGGAACGCACCTGCTCGAGCGTGAGGGCGGAACGCACCTGCTCGAGAGTGAGGGCGGAACGCACCTGCTCGAGGGTGAGGGCGGAACGCACCTGCTCGAGGGTGAGGGCGGAACGCACCTGCTCGAGGGTGAGGGCGGAACGCACCTGCTCGAGGGTGAGGGCGGAACGCACCTGCTCGAGGGTGAGGGCGGAACGCACCTGCTCGAGGGTGAGGGCGGAACGCACCTGCTCGAGGGTGAGGGCGGAACGCACCTGCTCGAGGGTGAGGGCGGAACGCACCTGCTCGAGGGTGAGGGCGGAACGCACCTGCTCGAGGGTGAGGGCGGAACGCACCTGCTCGAGGGTGAGGGCGGAACGCACCTGCTCGAGGGTGAGGGCGGAACGCACCTGCTCGAGGGTGAGGGCGAAACGCACCTGCTCGAGCGTGAGGGCGGAACGCACCTGCTCGAGGGTGAGGGCGGAACGCACCTGCTCGAGCGTGAGGGCGGAACGCACCTGCTCGAGGGTGAGGGCGGAACGCACCTGCTCGAGCGTGAGGGCAGAACGCACCTGCTCGAGCGTGAGGGCGGAACGCACCTGCTCGAGCGTGAGGGCGGAACGCACCTGCTCGAGCGTGAGGGCGGAACGCACCTGCTCGAGCGTGAGGGCGGAACGCACCTGCTCGAGCGTGAGGGCGGAACGCACCTGCTCGAGGGTGAGGGCGGAACGCACCTGCTCGAGGGTGAGGGCGGAACGCACCTGCTCGAGCGTGAGGGCAGAACGCACCTGCTCGAGCGTGAGGGCGGAACGCACCTGCTCGAGGGTGAGGGCGGAACGCACCTGCTCGAGGGTGAGGGCGCAACGCACCTGTTCGAGCGTGAGGGCAGAACGCACCTGCTCGAGCGTGAGGGCGGAACGCACCTGCTCGAGCGTGAGGGCGGAACGCACCTGCTCGAGGGTGAGGGCGGAACGCACCTGCTCGAGCGTGAGGGCGGAACGCACCTGCTCGAGCGTGAGGGCGGAACGCACCTGCTCGAGCGTGAGGGCGGAACGCACCTGCTCGAGCGTGAGGGCGGAACGCACCTGCTCGAGCGTGAGGGCGGAACGCACCTGCTCGAGCGTGAGGGCGGAACGCACCTGCTCGAGGGTGAGGGCGGAACGCACCTGCTCGAGGGTGAGGGCGGAACGCACCTGCTCGAGGGTGAGGGCGGAACGCACCTGCTCGAGCGTGAGGGCGGAACGCACCTGCTCGAGGGTGAGGGCGGAACGCACCTGCTCGAGGGTGAGGGCGGAACGCACCTGCTCGAGGGTGAGGGCGGAACGCACCTGCTCGAGCGTGAGGGCAGAACGCACCTGCTCGAGCGTGAGGGCGGAACGCACCTGCTCGAGCGTGAGGGCGGAACGCACCTGCTCGAGCGTGAGGGCGGAACGCACCTGCTCGAGCGTGAGGGCGGAACGCACCTGCTCGAGCGTGAGGGCGGAACGCACCTGCTCGAGCGTGAGGGCGGAACGCACCTGCTCGATCGTGAGGGCGGAACGCACCTGCTCGAGCGTGAGGGCGGAACGCACCTGCTCGAGCGTGAGGGCGGAACGCACCTGCTCGAGCGTGAGGGCGGAACGCACCTGCTCGAGGGTGAGGGTGGAACGCACCTGCTCGAGGGTGAGGGCGGAACGCACCTGCTCGAGGGTGAGGGTGGAACGCACCTGCTCGAGGGTGAGGGTGGAACGCACCTGCTCGAGGGTGAGGGCGGAACGCACCTGCTCGAGGGTGAGGGCGGAACGCACCTGCTCGAGGGTGAGGGCGGAACGCACCTGCTCGAGCGTGAGGGCGGAACGCACCTGCTCGAGCGTGAGGGCGGAACGCACCTGCTCGAGGGTGAGGGCGGAACGCACCTGCTCGAGGGTGAGGGCGGAACGCACCTGTTCGAGCGTGAGGGCAGAACGCACCTGCTCGAGCGTGAGGGCGGAACGCACCTGCTCGAGCGTGAGGGCGGAACGCACCTGCTCGAGGGTGAGGGCGGAACGCACCTGCTCGAGCGTGAGGGCGGAACGCACCTGCTCGAGCGTGAGGGCGGAACGCACCTGTTCGAGCGTGAGGGCGGAACGCACCTGCTCGAGCGTGAGGGCGGAACGCACCTGCTCGAGGGTGAGGGCGGAACGCACCTGCTCGAGGGTGAGGGCGGAACGCACCTGCTCGAGCGTGAGGGCGGAACGCACCTGCTCGAGCGTGAGGGCGGAACGCACCTGCTCGAGGGTGAGGGCGGAACGCACCTGCTCGAGGGTGAGGGCGGAACGCACCTGCTCGAGGGTGAGGGCGGAACGCACCTGCTCGAGCGTGAGGGCGGAACGCACCTGCTCGAGGGTGAGGGCGGAACGCACCTGCTCGAGGGTGAGGGCGGAACGCACCTGCTCGAGGGTGAGGGCGGAACGCACCTGCTCGAGCGTGAGGGCAGAACGCACCTGCTCGAGCGTGAGGGCGGAACGCACCTGCTCGAGCGTGAGGGCGGAACGCACCTGCTCGAGCGTGAGGGCGGAACGCACCTGCTCGAGGGTGAGGGCGGAACGCACCTGCTCGAGGGTGAGGGCGGAACGCACCTGCTCGAGCGTGAGGGCAGAACGCACCTGCTCGAGCGTGAGGGCGGAACGCACCTGCTCGAGCGTGAGGGCGGAACGCACCTGCTCGAGCGTGAGGGCGGAACGCACCTGCTCGAGCGTGAGGGCGGAACGCACCTGCTCGAGGGTGAGGGCGGAACGCACCTGCTCGAGGGTGAGGGCGGAACGCACCTGCTCGAGCGTGAGGGCGGAACGCACCTGCTCGAGCGTGAGGGCGGAACGCACCTGCTCGAGGGTGAGGGCGGAACGCACCTGCTCGAGGGTGAGGGCGGAACGCACCTGCTCGAGCGTGAGGGCAGAACGCACCTGCTCGAGCGTGAGGGCGGAACGCACCTGCTCGAGCGTGAGGGCGGAACGCACCTGCTCGAGCGTGAGGGCGGAACGCACCTGCTCGAGCGTGAGGGCGGAACGCACCTGCTCGAGGGTGAGGGCGGAACGCACCTGCTCGAGGGTGAGGGCGGAACGCACCTGCTCGAGCGTGAGGGCAGAACGCACCTGCTCGAGCGTGAGGGCGGAACGCACCTGCTCGAGGGTGAGGGCGGAACGCACCTGCTCGAGCGTGAGGGCGGAACGCACCTGCTCGAGCGTGAGGGCGGAACGCACCTGCTCGAGCGTGAGGGCGGAACGCACCTGCTCGAGCGTGAGGGCGGAACGCACCTGCTCGAGCGTGAGGGCGGAACGCACCTGCTCGAGCGTGAGGGCGGAACGCACCTGCTCGAGGGTGAGGGCGGAACGCACCTGCTCGAGGGTGAGGGCGGAACGCACCTGCTCGAGGGTGAGGGCGGAACGCACCTGCTCGAGCGTGAGGGCGGAACGCACCTGCTCGAGGGTGAGGGCGGAACGCACCTGCTCGAGGGTGAGGGCGGAACGCACCTGCTCGAGGGTGAGGGCGGAACGCACCTGCTCGAGCGTGAGGGCAGAACGCACCTGCTCGAGCGTGAGGGCGGAACGCACCTGCTCGAGCGTGAGGGCGGAACGCACCTGCTCGAGCGTGAGGGCGGAACGCACCTGCTCGAGCGTGAGGGCGGAACGCACCTGCTCGAGCGTGAGGGCGGAACGCACCTGCTCGAGCGTGAGGGCGGAACGCACCTGCTCGATCGTGAGGGCGGAACGCACCTGCTCGAGCGTGAGGGCGGAACGCACCTGCTCGAGCGTGAGGGCGGAACGCACCTGCTCGAGCGTGAGGGCGGAACGCACCTGCTCGAGGGTGAGGGTGGAACGCACCTGCTCGAGGGTGAGGGCGGAACGCACCTGCTCGAGGGTGAGGGTGGAACGCACCTGCTCGAGGGTGAGGGTGGAACGCACCTGCTCGAGGGTGAGGGCGGAACGCACCTGCTCGAGGGTGAGGGCGGAACGCACCTGCTCGAGGGTGAGGGCGGAACGCACCTGCTCGAGCGTGAGGGCGGAACGCACCTGCTCGAGCGTGAGGGCGGAACGCACCTGCTCGAGGGTGAGGGCGGAACGCACCTGCTCGAGGGTGAGGGCGGAACGCACCTGTTCGAGCGTGAGGGCAGAACGCACCTGCTCGAGCGTGAGGGCGGAACGCACCTGCTCGAGCGTGAGGGCGGAACGCACCTGCTCGAGGGTGAGGGCGGAACGCACCTGCTCGAGCGTGAGGGCGGAACGCACCTGCTCGAGCGTGAGGGCGGAACGCACCTGTTCGAGCGTGAGGGCGGAACGCACCTGCTCGAGCGTGAGGGCGGAACGCACCTGCTCGAGGGTGAGGGCGGAACGCACCTGCTCGAGGGTGAGGGCGGAACGCACCTGCTCGAGGGTGAGGGCGGAACGCACCTGCTCGAGCGTGAGGGCGGAACGCACCTGCTCGAGCGTGAGGGCGGAACGCACCTGCTCGAGGGTGAGGGCGGAACGCACCTGCTCGAGGGTGAGGGCGGAACGCACCTGCTCGAGGGTGAGGGCGGAACGCACCTGCTCGAGCGTGAGGGCGGAACGCACCTGCTCGAGGGTGAGGGCGGAACGCACCTGCTCGAGGGTGAGGGCGGAACGCACCTGCTCGAGCGTGAGGGCAGAACGCACCTGCTCGAGCGTGAGGGCGGAACGCACCTGCTCGAGCGTGAGGGCGGAACGCACCTGCTCGAGCGTGAGGGCGGAACGCACCTGCTCGAGGGTGAGGGCGGAACGCACCTGCTCGAGGGTGAGGGCGGAACGCACCTGCTCGAGCGTGAGGGCAGAACGCACCTGCTCGAGCGTGAGGGCGGAACGCACCTGCTCGAGCGTGAGGGCGGAACGCACCTGCTCGAGCGTGAGGGCGGAACGCACCTGCTCGAGCGTGAGGGCGGAACGCACCTGCTCGAGGGTGAGGGCGGAACGCACCTGCTCGAGGGTGAGGGCGGAACGCACCTGCTCGAGCGTGAGGGCGGAACGCACCTGCTCGAGCGTGAGGGCGGAACGCACCTGCTCGAGGGTGAGGGCGGAACGCACCTGCTCGAGGGTGAGGGCGGAACGCACCTGCTCGAGCGTGAGGGCAGAACGCACCTGCTCGAGCGTGAGGGCGGAACGCACCTGCTCGAGCGTGAGGGCGGAACGCACCTGCTCGAGCGTGAGGGCGGAACGCACCTGCTCGAGCGTGAGGGCGGAACGCACCTGCTCGAGGGTGAGGGCGGAACGCACCTGCTCGAGCGTGAGGGCAGAACGCACCTGCTCGAGCGTGAGGGCGGAACGCACCTGCTCGAGCGTGAGGGCGGAACGCACCTGCTCGAGGGTGAGGGTGGAACGCACCTGCTCGAGGGTGAGGGCGGAACGCACCTGCTCGAGCGTGAGGGTGGAACGCACCTGCTCGAGGGTGAGGGTGGAACGCACCTGCTCGAGGGTGAGGGCGGAACGCACCTGCTCGAGGGTGAGGGCGGAACGCACCTGCTCGAGGGTGAGGGCGGAACGCACCTGCTCGAGCGTGAGGGCGGAACGCACCTGCTCGAGGGTGAGGGCGGAACGCACCTGCTCGAGGGTGAGGGCGGAACGCACCTGCTCGAGGGTGAGGGCGGAACGCACCTGCTCGAGGGTGAGGGCGGAACGCACCTGCTCGAGCGTGAGGGCGGAACGCACCTGCTCGAGGGTGAGGGCGGAACGCACCTGCTCGAGGGTGAGGGCGGAACGCACCTGCTCGAGCGTGAGGGCGGAACGCACCTGCTCGAGCGTGAGGGCGGAACGCACCTGCTCGAGGGTGAGGGCGGAACGCACCTGCTCGAGGGTGAGGGCGGAACGCACCTGCTCGAGCGTGAGGGCGGAACGCACCTGCTCGAGGGTGAGGGCGGAACGCACCTGCTCGAGGGTGAGGGCGGAACGCACCTGCTCGAGGGTGAGGGCGGAACGCACCTGCTCGAGGGTGAGGGCGGAACGCACCTGCTCGAGCGTGAGGGCGGAACGCACCTGCTCGAGCGTGAGGGCGGAACGCACCTGCTCGAGGGTGAGGGCGGAACGCACCTGCTCGAGGGTGAGGGCGGAACGCACCTGCTCGAGGGTGAGGGCGGAACGCACCTGCTCGAGCGTGAGGGCGGAACGCACCTGCTCGAGGGTGAGGGCGGAACGCACCTGCTCGAGGGTGAGGGCGGAACGCACCTGCTCGAGGGTGAGGGCGGAACGCACCTGCTCGAGGGTGAGGGCGGAACGCACCTGCTCGAGCGTGAGGGCGGAACGCACCTGCTCGAGGGTGAGGGCGGAACGCACCTGCTCGAGGGTGAGGGCGGAACGCACCTGCTCGAGCGTGAGGGCGGAACGCACCTGCTCGAGCGTGAGGGCGGAACGCACCTGCTCGAGGGTGAGGGCGGAACGCACCTGCTCGAGGGTGAGGGCGGAACGCACCTGCTCGAGGGTGAGGGCGGAACGCACCTGCTCGAGCGTGAGGGCAGAACGCACCTGCTCGAGCGTGAGGGCGGAACGCACCTGCTCGAGGGTGAGGGCGGAACGCACCTGCTCGAGGGTGAGGGCGGAACGCACCTGTTCGAGCGTGAGGGCAGAACGCACCTGCTCGAGCGTGAGGGCGGAACGCACCTGCTCGAGCGTGAGGGCGGAACGCACCTGCTCGAGGGTGAGGGCGGAACGCACCTGCTCGAGCGTGAGGGCGGAACGCACCTGCTCGAGCGTGAGGGCGGAACGCACCTGCTCGAGCGTGAGGGCGGAACGCACCTGCTCGAGCGTGAGGGCGGAACGCACCTGCTCGAGCGTGAGGGCGGAACGCACCTGCTCGAGCGTGAGGGCGGAACGCACCTGCTCGAGCGTGAGGGCGGAACGCATCTGCTCGAGGGTGAGGGCGGAACGCACCTGCTCGAGGGTGAGGGCGGAACGCACCTGCTCGAGCGTGAGGGCGGAACGCACCTGCTCGAGCGTGAGGGCGGAACGCACCTGCTCGAGGGTGAGGGCGGAACGCACCTGCTCGAGGGTGAGGGCGGAACGCACCTGCTCGAGGGTGAGGGCGGAACGCACCTGCTCGAGCGTGAGGGCGGAACGCACCTGCTCGAGCGTGAGGGCGGAACGCACCTGCTCGAGGGTGAGGGCGGAACGCACCTGCTCGAGGGTGAGGGCGGAACGCACCTGCTCGAGCGTGAGGACAGAACGCACCTGCTCGAGCGTGAGGGCGGAACGCACCTGCTCGAGGGTGAGGGCGGAACGCACCTGCTCGAGGGTGAGGGCGGAACGCACCTGCTCGAGCGTGAGGGCAGAACGCACCTGCTCGAGCGTGAGGGCGGAACGCACCTGCTCGAGCGTGAGGGCGGAACGCACCTGCTCGAGGGTGAGGGCGGAACGCACCTGCTCGAGCGTGAGGGCGGAACGCACCTGCTCGAGGGTGAGGGCGGAACGCACCTGCTCGAGGGTGAGGGCAGAACGCACCTGCTCGAGGGTGAGGGCGGAACGCACCTGCTCGAGCGTGAGGGCAGAACGCACCTGCTCGAGCGTGAGGGCGGAACGCACCTGCTCGAGCGTGAGGGCGGAACGCACCTGCTCGAGGGTGAGGGCGGAACGCACCTGCTCGAGCGTGAGGGCGGAACGCACCTGCTCGAGGGTGAGGGCGGAACGCACCTGCTCGAGGGTGAGGGCGGAACGCACCTGCTCGAGGGTGAGGGCGGAACGCACCTGCTCGAGGGTGAGGGCAGAACGCACCTGCTCGAGGGTGAGGGCAGAACGCACCTGCTCGAGGGTGAGGGCAGAACGCACCTGCTCGAGGGTGAGGGCAGAACGCACCTGCTCGAGCGTGAGGGCAGAACGCACCTGCTCGACTATGTGGCAAAAGACGCGTCCTGCGTCTAGGACGCTTGCGTCCAGACGCAGCGTCTTAGACGCAGGACGCTAGAGGAGGGCCTTTAGGACGCATGAAAAGACGCATGCCCGGGCAGGGCAAAAAAAAACCCCGGGCAGCCGAAATCTGATGTTATAGGGTATGGGAAGGGGGGGGGAACGACGATGCACACATTTGAGGCAAAATCGTCCCCTTCAAATTTTCAGGGTTTAGGGTTTACGAAGGAGAATCGTCTTGGTAAACCCTCTAGGGTGTTTTTGATGGCCGATATGGGTTAGGGGGGGTCGACATGACGTGAAATTGACAGTCGCGTCCAAATCGTTAAAGTCAATTTCGCGCTGGGGCAATTTTTTTTTTCCGGTCAGCCCGAAAAAAGTAACGGGGTGCGTCCTGCGTCTGGACGCGCGTCCTGCGTCTCTGCGTCTGGACGCTGCATCCAGACGCAGGACGCAGCAGGACGCGTGCGTCTTTTGCCACATAGCTGCTCGAGCGTGAGGGCAGAACGCACCTGCTCGAGCGTGAGGGCAGAACGCACCTGCTCGAGCGTGAGGGCAGAACGCACCTGCTCGAGCGTGAGGGCAGAACGCACCTGCTCGAGCGTGAGGGCAGAACGCACCTGCTCGAGCATGAGGGCAGAACGCACCTGCTCGAGCGTGAGGGCAGAACGCACCTGCTCGAGGGTGAGGGCGGAACGCACCTGCTCGAGCGTGAGGGCGGAACGCACCTGCTCGAGCGTGAGGGCGGAACGCACCTGCTCGAGGGTGAGGGCGGAACGCACCTGCTCGAGGGTGAGGGCGGAACGCACCTGCTCGAGCGTGAGGACAGAACGCACCTGCTCGAGCGTGAGGGCGGAACGCACCTGCTCGAGGGTGAGGGCGGAACGCACCTGCTCGAGGGTGAGGGCGGAACGCACCTGCTCGAGCGTGAGGGCAGAACGCACCTGCTCGAGCGTGAGGGCGGAACGCACCTGCTCGAGCGTGAGGGCGGAACGCACCTGCTCGAGGGTGAGGGCGGAACGCACCTGCTCGAGCGTGAGGGCGGAACGCACCTGCTCGAGGGTGAGGGCGGAACGCACCTGCTCGAGGGTGAGGGCGGAACGCACCTGCTCGAGGGTGAGGGCGGAACGCACCTGCTCGAGCGTGAGGGCAGAACGCACCTGCTCGAGCGTGAGGGCGGAACGCACCTGCTCGAGCGTGAGGGCGGAACGCACCTGCTCGAGGGTGAGGGCGGAACGCACCTGCTCGAGCGTGAGGGCGGAACGCACCTGCTCGAGGGTGAGGGCGGAACGCACCTGCTCGAGGGTGAGGGCGGAACGCACCTGCTCGAGGGTGAGGGCGGAACGCACCTGCTCGAGGGTGAGGGCAGAACGCACCTGCTCGGTGGTGAGGGCAGAACGCACCTGCTCGAGGGTGAGGGCAGAACGCACCTGCTCGAGGGTGAGGGCAGAACGCACCTGCTCGAGCGTGAGGGCAGAACGCACCTGCTCGACTATGTGGCAAAAGACGCGTCCTGCGTCTAGGACGCTTGCGTCCAGACGCAGCGTCTTAGACGCAGGACGCTAGAGGAGGGCCTTTAGGACGCATGAAAAGACGCATGCCCGGGCAGGGCAAAAAAAAACCCCGGGCAGCCGAAATCTGATGTTATAGGGTATGGGAAGGGGGGGGGAACGACGATGCACACATTTGAGGCAAAATCGTCCCCTTCAAATTTTCAGGGTTTAGGGTTTACGAAGGAGAATCGTCTTGGTAAACCCTCTAGGGTGTTTTTGATGGCCGATATGGGTTAGGGGGGGTCGACATGACGTGAAATTGACAGTCGCGTCCAAATCGTTAAAGTCAATTTCGCGCTGGGGCAATTTTTTTTTTCCGGTCAGCCCGAAAAAAGTAACGGGGTGCGTCCTGCGTCTGGACGCGCGTCCTGCGTCTCTGCGTCTGGACGCTGCATCCAGACGCAGGACGCAGCAGGACGCGTGCGTCTTTTGCCACATAGCTGCTCGAGCGTGAGGGCAGAACGCACCTGCTCGAGCGTGAGGGCAGAACGCACCTGCTCGAGCGTGAGGGCAGAACGCACCTGCTCGAGGGTGAGGGCAGAACGCACCTGCTCGAGGGTGAGGGCAGAACGCACCTGCTCGAGCGTGAGGGCAGAACGCACCTGCTCGAGCGTGAGGGCAGAACGCACCTGCTCGAGCGTGAGGGCAGAACGCACCTGCTCGAGCGTGAGGGCAGAACGCACCTGCTCGAGCGTGAGGGCAGAACGCACCTGCTCGAGCGTGAGGGCAGAACGCACCTGCTCGAGCGTGAGGGCAGAACGCACCTGCTCGAGCGTGAGGGCAGAACGCACCTGCTCGAGCGTGAGGGCAGAACGCACCTGCTCGAGCGTGAGGGCAGAACGCACCTGCTCGAGCGTGAGGGCAGAACGCACCTGCTCGAGCGTGAGGGCAGAACGCACCTGCTCGAGCGTGAGGGCAGAACGCACCTGCTCGAGCGTGAGGGCAGAACGCACCTGCTCGAGCGTGAGGGCAGAACGCACCTGCTCGAGCGTGAGGGCAGAACGCACCTGCTCGAGCGTGAGGGCAGAACGCACCTGCTCGAGCGTGAGGGCAGAACGCACCTGCTCGAGCGTGAGGGCAGAACGCACCTGCTCGAGCGTGTGGGCAGAACGCACCTGCTCGAGCGTGAGGGCAGAACGCACCTGCTCGAGCGTGAGGGCGGAACGCACCTGCTCGAGCGTGAGGGCGGAACGCACCTGCTCGAGCGTGAGGGCGGAACGCACTTGCTCGAGCGTGAGGGCGGAACGCACCTGCTCGAGCGTGAGGGCGGAACGCACCTGCTCGAGCGTGAGGGCGGAACGCACCTGCTCGAGCGTGAGGGCGGAACGCACCTGCTCGAGCGTGAGGGCCGAACGCACCTGCTCGAGCGTGAGGGCGGAACGCACCTGCTCGAGCGTGAGGGCGGAACGCACCTGCTCGAGCGTGAGGGCGGAACGCACCTGCTCGAGCGTGAGGGCGGAACGCACCTGCTCGAGGGTGAGGGCGGAACGCACCTGCTCGAGGGTGAGGGCGGAACGCACTTGCTCGAGCGTGAGGGCGGAACGCACCTGCTCGAGCGTGAGGGCGGAACGCACCTGCTCGAGCGTGAGGGCGGAACGCACCTGCTCGAGCGTGAGGGCGGAACGCACCTGCTCGAGCGTGAGGGCGGAACGCACCTGCTCGAGCGTGAGGGCGGAACGCACCTGCTCGAGCGTGAGGGCGGAACGCACCTGCTCGAGCGCGAGGGCGGAACGCACCTGCTCGAGCGCGAGGGCGGAACGCACCTGCTCGAGCGCGAGGGCGGAACGCACCTGCTCGAGCGCGAGGGCGGAACGCACCTGCTCGAGCGCGAGGGCGGAACGCACCTGCTCGAGCGCGAGGGCGGAACGCACCTGCTCGAGCGCGAGGGCGGAACGCACCTGCTCGAGCGCGAGGGCGGAACGCACCTGCTCGAGCGCGAGGGCGGAACGCACCTGCTCGAGCGCGAGGGCGGAACGCACCTGCTCGAGCGCGAGGGCGGAACGCACCTGCTCGAGCGCGAGGGCGGAACGCACCTGCTCGAGCGCGAGGGCGGAACGCACCTGCTCGAGCGCGAGGGCGGAACGCACCTGCTCGAGCGCGAGGGCGGAACGCACCTGCTCGAGCGCGAGGGCGGAACGCACCTGCTCGAGCGCGAGGGCGGAACGCACCTGCTCGAGCGCGAGGGCGGAACGCACCTGCTCGAGCGCGAGGGCGGAACGCACCTGCTCGAGCGTGAGGGCGGAACGCACCTGCTCGAGCGTGAGGGCGGAACGCACCTGCCGGTGAGGGCGGAACGCACCTGCTCGAGCGTGAGGGCGGAACGCACCTGCTCGAGCGTGAGGGCGGAACGCACCTGCTCGAGCGTGAGGGCGGAACGCACCTGCTCGAGCGTGAGGGCGGAACGCACCTGCTCGAGCGTGAGGGCGGAACGCACCTGCTCGAGCGTGAGGGCGGAACGCACCTGCTCGAGCGTGAGGGCGGAACGCACCTGCTCGAGCGTGAGGGCGGAACGCACCTGCTCGAGCGTGAGGGCGGAACGCACCTGCTCGAGCGTGAGGGCGGAACGCACCTGCTCGAGCGTGAGGGCGGAACGCACCTGCTCGAGCGTGAGGGCGGAACGCACCTGCTCGAGCGTGAGGGCGGAACGCACCTGCTCGAGCGTGAGGGCGGAACGCACCTGCTCGAGCGTGAGGGCGGAACGCACCTGCTCGAGCGTGAGGGCGGAACGCACCTGCTCGAGCGTGAGGGCGGAACGCACCTGCTCGAGCGTGAGGGCGGAACGCACCTGCTCGAGCGTGAGGGCGGAACGCACCTGCTCGAGCGTGAGGGCGGAACGCACCTGCTCGAGCGTGAGGGCGGAACGCACCTGCTCGAGCGTGAGGGCGGAACGCACCTGCTCGAGCGTGAGGGCGGAACGCACCTGCTCGAGCGTGAGGGCGGAACGCACCTGCTCGAGCGTGAGGGCGGAACGCACCTGCTCGAGCGTGAGGGCGGAACGCACCTGCTCGAGCGTGAGGGCGGAACGCACCTGCTCGAGCGTGAGGGCGGAACGCACCTGCTCGAGCGTGAGGGCGGAACGCACCTGCTCGAGCGTGAGGGCGGAACGCACCTGCTCGAGCGTGAGGGCGGAACGCACCTGCTCGAGCGTGAGGGCGGAACGCACCTGCTCGAGCGTGAGGGCGGAACGCACCTGCTCGAGCGTGAGGGCGGAACGCACCTGCTCGAGCGTGAGGGCGGAACGCACCTGCTCGAGCGTGAGGGCGGAACGCACCTGCTCGAGCGTGAGGGCGGAACGCACCTGCTCGAGCGTGAGGGCGGAACGCACCTGCTCGAGCGTGAGGGCGGAACGCACCTGCTCGAGCGTGAGGGCGGAACGCACCTGCTCGAGCGTGAGGGCGGAACGCACCTGCTCGAGCGTGAGGGCGGAACGCACCTGCTCGAGCGTGAGGGCGGAACGCACCTGCTCGAGCGTGAGGGCGGAACGCACCTGCTCGAGCGTGAGGGCGGAACGCACCTGCTCGAGCGTGAGGGCGGAACGCACCTGCTCGAGCGTGAGGGCGGAACGCACCTGCTCGAGCGTGAGGGCGGAACGCACCTGCTCGAGCGTGAGGGCGGAACGCACCTGCTCGAGCGTGAGGGCGGAACGCACCTGCTCGAGCGTGAGGGCGGAACGCACCTGCTCGAGCGTGAGGGCGGAACGCACCTGCTCGAGCGTGAGGGCGGAACGCACCTGCTCGAGCGTGAGGGCGGAACGCACCTGCTCGAGCGTGAGGGCGGAACGCACCTGCTCGAGCGTGAGGGCGGAACGCACCTGCTCGAGCGTGAGGGCGGAACGCACCTGCTCGAGCGTGAGGGCGGAACGCACCTGCTCGAGCGTGAGGGCGGAACGCACCTGCTCGAGCGTGAGGGCGGAACGCACCTGCTCGAGCGTGAGGGCGGAACGCACCTGCTCGAGCGTGAGGGCGGAACGCACCTGCTCGAGCGTGAGGGCGGAACGCACCTGCTCGAGCGTGAGGGCGGAACGCACCTGCTCGAGCGTGAGGGCGGAACGCACCTGCTCGAGCGTGAGGGCGGAACGCACCTGCTCGAGCGTGAGGGCGGAACGCACCTGCTCGAGCGTGAGGGCGGAACGCACCTGCTCGAGCGTGAGGGCGGAACGCACCTGCTCGAGCGTGAGGGCGGAACGCACCTGCTCGAGCGTGAGGGCGGAACGCACCTGCTCGAGCGTGAGGGCGGAACGCACCTGCTCGAGCGTGAGGGCGGAACGCACCTGCTCGAGCGTGAGGGCGGAACGCACCTGCTCGAGCGTGAGGGCGGAACGCACCTGCTCGAGCGTGAGGGCGGAACGCACCTGCTCGAGCGTGAGGGCGGAACGCACCTGCTCGAGCGTGAGGGCGGAACGCACCTGCTCGAGCGTGAGGGCGGAACGCACCTGCTCGAGCGTGAGGGCGGAACGCACCTGCTCGAGCGTGAGGGCGGAACGCACCTGCTCGAGCGTGAGGGCGGAACGCACCTGCTCGAGCGTGAGGGCGGAACGCACCTGCTCGAGCGTGAGGGCGGAACGCACCTGCTCGAGCGTGAGGGCGGAACGCACCTGCTCGAGCGTGAGGGCGGAACGCACCTGCTCGAGCGTGAGGGCGGAACGCACCTGCTCGAGCGTGAGGGCGGAACGCACCTGCTCGAGCGTGAGGGCGGAACGCACCTGCTCGAGCGTGAGGGCGGAACGCACCTGCTCGAGCGTGAGGGCGGAACGCACCTGCTCGAGCGTGAGGGCGGAACGCACCTGCTCGAGCGTGAGGGCGGAACGCACCTGCTCGAGCGTGAGGGCGGAACGCACCTGCTCGAGCGTGAGGGCGGAACGCACCTGCTCGAGCGTGAGGGCGGAACGCACCTGCTCGAGCGTGAGGGCGGAACGCACCTGCTCGAGCGTGAGGGCGGAACGCACCCTGCTCGAGCGTGAGGGCGGAACGCACCTGCTCGAGCGTGAGGGCGGAACGCACCTGCTCGAGCGTGAGGGCGGAACGCACCTGCTCGAGCGTGAGGGCGGAACGCACCTGCTCGAGCGTGAGGGCGGAACGCACCTGCTCGAGCGTGAGGGCGGAACGCACCTGCTCGAGCGTGAGGGCGGAACGCACCTGCTCGAGCGTGAGGGCGGAACGCACCTGCTCGAGCGTGAGGGCGGAACGCACCTGCTCGAGCGTGAGGGCGGAACGCACCTGCTCGAGCGTGAGGGCGGAACGCACCTGCTCGAGCGTGAGGGCGGAACGCACCTGCTCGAGCGTGAGGGCGGAACGCACCTGCTCGAGCGTGAGGGCGGAACGCACCTGCTCGAGCGTGAGGGCGGAACGCACCTGCTCGAGCGTGAGGGCGGAACGCACCTGCTCGAGCGTGAGGGCGGAACGCACCTGCTCGAGCGTGAGGGCGGAACCGCACCTGCTCGAGCGTGAGGGCGGAACGCACCTGCTCGAGCGTGAGGGCGGAACGCACCTGCTCGAGCGTGAGGGCGGAACGCACCTGCTCGAGCGTGAGGGCGGAACGCACCTGCTCGAGCGTGAGGGCGGAACGCACCTGCTCGAGCGTGAGGGCGGAACGCACCTGCTCGAGCGTGAGGGCGGAACGCACCTGCTCGAGCGTGAGGGCGGAACGCACCTGCTCGAGCGTGAGGGCGGAACGCACCTGCTCGAGCGTGAGGGCGGAACGCACCTGCTCGAGCGTGAGGGCGGAACGCACCTGCTCGAGCGTGAGGGCGGAACGCACCTGCTCGAGCGTGAGGGCGGAACGCACCTGCTCGAGCGTGAGGGCGGAACGCACCTGCTCGAGCGTGAGGGCGGAACGCACCTGCTCGAGCGTGAGGGCGGAACGCACCTGCTCGAGCGTGAGGGCGGAACGCACCTGCTCGAGCGTGAGGGCGGAACGCACCTGCTCGAGCGTGAGGGCGGAACGCACCTGCTCGAGCGTGAGGGCGGAACGCACCTGCTCGAGCGTGAGGGCGGAACGCACCTGCTCGAGCGTGAGGGCGGAACGCACCTGCTCGAGCGTGAGGGCGGAACGCACCTGCTCGAGCGTGAGGGCGGAACGCACCTGCTCGAGCGTGAGGGCGGAACGCACCTGCTCGAGCGTGAGGGCGGAACGCACCTGCTCGAGCGTGAGGGCGGAACGCACCTGCTCGAGCGTGAGGGCGGAACGCACCTGCTCGAGCGTGAGGGCGGAACGCACCTGCTCGAGCGTGAGGGCGGAACGCACCTGCTCGAGCGTGAGGGCGGAACGCACCTGCTCGAGCGTGAGGGCGGAACGCACCTGCTCGAGCGTGAGGGCGGAACGCACCTGCTCGAGCGTGAGGGCGGAACGCACCTGCTCGAGCGTGAGGGCGGAACGCACCTGCTCGAGCGTGAGGGCGGAACGCACCTGCTCGAGCGTGAGGGCGGAACGCACCTGCTCGAGCGTGAGGGCGGAACGCACCTGCTCGAGCGTGAGGGCGGAACGCACCTGCTCGAGCGTGAGGGCGGAACGCACCTGCTCGAGCGTGAGGGCGGAACGCACCTGCTCGAGCGTGAGGGCGGAACGCACCTGCTCGAGCGTGAGGGCGGAACGCACCTGCTCGAGCGTGAGGGCGGAACGCACCTGCTCGAGCGTGAGGGCGGAACGCACCTGCTCGAGCGTGAGGGCGGAACGCACCTGCTCGAGCGTGAGGGCGGAACGCACCTGCTCGAGCGTGAGGGCGGAACGCACCTGCTCGAGCGTGAGGGCGGAACGCACCTGCTCGAGCGTGAGGGCGGAACGCACCTGCTCGAGCGTGAGGGCGGAACGCACCTGCTCGAGCGTGAGGGCGGAACGCACCTGCTCGAGCGTGAGGGCGGAACGCACCTGCTCGAGCGTGAGGGCGGAACGCACCTGCTCGAGCGTGAGGGCGGAACGCACCTGCTCGAGCGTGAGGGCGGAACGCACCTGCTCGAGCGTGAGGGCGGAACGCACCTGCTCGAGCGTGAGGGCGGAACGCACCTGCTCGAGCGTGAGGGCGGAACGCACCTGCTCGAGCGTGAGGGCGGAACGCACCTGCTCGAGCGTGAGGGCGGAACGCACCTGCTCGAGCGTGAGGGCGGAACGCACCTGCTCGAGCGTGAGGGCGGAACGCACCTGCTCGAGCGTGAGGGCGGAACGCACCTGCTCGAGCGTGAGGGCGGAACGCACCTGCTCGAGCGTGAGGGCGGAACGCACCTGCTCGAGCGTGAGGGCGGAACGCACCTGCTCGAGCGTGAGGGCGGAACGCACCTGCTCGAGCGTGAGGGCGGAACGCACCTGCTCGAGCGTGAGGGCGGAACGCACCTGCTCGAGCGTGAGGGCGGAACGCACCTGCTCGAGCGTGAGGGCGGAACGCACCTGCTCGAGCGTGAGGGCGGAACGCACCTGCTCGAGCGTGAGGGCGGAACGCACCTGCTCGAGCGTGAGGGCGGAACGCACCTGCTCGAGCGTGAGGGCGGAACGCACCTGCTCGAGCGTGAGGGCGGAACGCACCTGCTCGAGCGTGAGGGCGGAACGCACCTGCTCGAGCGTGAGGGCGGAACGCACCTGCTCGAGCGTGAGGGCGGAACGCACCTGCTCGAGCGTGAGGGCGGAACGCACCTGCTCGAGCGTGAGGGCGGAACGCACCTGCTCGAGCGTGAGGGCGGAACGCACCTGCTCGAGCGTGAGGGCGGAACGCACCTGCTCGAGCGTGAGGGCGGAACGCACCTGCTCGAGCGTGAGGGCGGAACGCACCTGCTCGAGCGTGAGGGCGGAACGCACCTGCTCGAGCGTGAGGGCGGAACGCACCTGCTCGAGCGTGAGGGCGGAACGCACCTGCTCGAGCGTGAGGGCGGAACGCACCTGCTCGAGCGTGAGGGCGGAACGCACCTGCTCGAGCGTGAGGGCGGAACGCACCTGCTCGAGCGTGAGGGCGGAACGCACCTGCTCGAGCGTGAGGGCGGAACGCACCTGCTCGAGCGTGAGGGCGGAACGCACCTGCTCGAGCGTGAGGGCGGAACGCACCTGCTCGAGCGTGAGGGCGGAACGCACCTGCTCGAGCGTGAGGGCGGAACGCACCTGCTCGAGCGTGAGGGCGGAACGCACCTGCTCGAGCGTGAGGGCGGAACGCACCTGCTCGAGCGTGAGGGCGGAACGCACCTGCTCGAGCGTGAGGGCGGAACGCACCTGCTCGAGCGTGAGGGCGGAACGCACCTGCTCGAGCGTGAGGGCGGAACGCACCTGCTCGAGCGTGAGGGCGGAACGCACCTGCTCGAGCGTGAGGGCGGAACGCACCTGCTCGAGCGTGAGGGCGGAACGCACCTGCTCGAGCGTGAGGGCGGAACGCACCTGCTCGAGCGTGAGGGCGGAACGCACCTGCTCGAGCGTGAGGGCGGAACGCACCTGCTCGAGCGTGAGGGCGGAACGCACCTGCTCGAGCGTGAGGGCGGAACGCACCTGCTCGAGCGTGAGGGCGGAACGCACCTGCTCGAGCGTGAGGGCGGAACGCACCTGCTCGAGCGTGAGGGCGGAACGCACCTGCTCGAGCGTGAGGGCGGAACGCACCTGCTCGAGCGTGAGGGCGGAACGCACCTGCTCGAGCGTGAGGGCGGAACGCACCTGCTCGAGCGTGAGGGCGGAACGCACCTGCTCGAGCGTGAGGGCGGAACGCACCTGCTCGAGCGTGAGGGCGGAACGCACCTGCTCGAGCGTGAGGGCGGAACGCACCTGCTCGAGCGTGAGGGCGGAACGCACCTGCTCGAGCGTGAGGGCGGAACGCACCTGCTCGAGCGTGAGGGCGGAACGCACCTGCTCGAGCGTGAGGGCGGAACGCACCTGCTCGAGCGTGAGGGCGGAACGCACCTGCTCGAGCGTGAGGGCGGAACGCACCTGCTCGAGCGTGAGGGCGGAACGCACCTGCTCGAGCGTGAGGGCGGAACGCACCTGCTCGAGCGTGAGGAACATGATGACATTCCAGGAGCCCAGGCGGCCGAAGTTGGGGATGAAGCCCTTGTAGAACGCCATCACGCCCTGTGGGGGGGGGGGGGAGGGGGGGGAGGGGGGGGAGGGGAGGGGAAGGGGGGGGAGGGAGTTGTGAGGGGAGAGGGGAGAGGATGTGGCAAGAGAGGGACCAGGTGCAGCATACCGTCGTTGGCATTGGAGAGTACTGCACGTGCTACAGCCTGCACGTGCTACAGCCTGCACGTGCTACATGCCACTCGCACGACAGCTCATGGCACTCCCACAAGAGTAATGGTTGCATGAGAGTCTGCATGGACTTGTGCCGTTGAGACAGCTGGCACGCCACCAAGCAGACGCGGAGACATGCAAGAGCAAGCAACTTGCGGGTTGAGAGGGGCTCGCGCTTCCGGGTTCATCCATGCGGATCGTCTTTGTTCGCCACTCTAGTGCCTCTCAGCCTGCCTCCACTCCTGAGTGGCAGCCACGACCATGAACGCCCGCTGCCATCACCACCGCCCATCGCTGCGCACATGCGCATGAGAGAGGCTGTACATGCACAGGGGGGACGCCATCAGCTGTGCATGGAGAGGGGGGACGCCATGAGCTGTGCATGGAGAGGGGGGACGCCATGAGCTGTGCATGGAGAGGGGGGACGCCATCAGCTGTGCATGGAGAGGGGGGACGCCATCAGCTGTGCATGGAGAGGGGGGACGCCATCAGCTGTGCATGGAGAGGGGGGACGCCATCAGCTGTGCATGGAGAGGGGGGACGCCATCAGCTGTGCATGGAGAGGGGGGACGCCATGAGCTGTGCATGGAGAGGGGGGACGCCATCAGCTCCCAACACCCACGCGCCACCATGGCATGGGGCGGGCGGCAAGAGATGCGGCAGGCGGGAGCAGCAAGCACTACCACAGCAAAGCCACCTACGCAGGCGACGCGACTTCCCATGCAGCGTTGACACATGCGCATGCCCCTTCCATCACACCACTCTGCTCCCAGCGCCCCTGGCGGACAGTGGCGCCAGGCAGCCCTTGGGCGCGCCCACCCACCCCACATACCACACGGCGTCACTGCCTCCGCCCACAGTGGGCCGTGGCCCTGCAGCCCGCTCACCTGGTGGCACTGCAGCCCGCTCACCTGGTGCGCGCTTGCACTAAAAGCACATGGATGGAGCAGTTGAATGAGCACATGGATGGAGCAGTTGAATGAGCACATGGATGGAGAGATCATGCCAATGAGAGAAGCTGTACGGGCAGCAGCACAGGAGCAAGGCAAGCGACACAACTCCCATGCACCCAATCGGACTAGATAGCTGCGAGCAGCAGGGGTGGCAGGGAAGGGGCACGCACGTCGTTGCGGAAGGTCTTGAGGAAGCAGTCGAGCGTGCCCTTGTACTGCCCGCTGCTGTCGCCCATCACCCTCGACTTCACCTGCTCGCCCGCCGAGGGGGGGAGGGGGTGGGGGAGAGGAGGCAGGGAAAGGGGGGGAGTGCAAAGGGGTTGGGTGTGGGAGAGGGACGTGAAGGGTTGAGAAGAGCAGCGGCCCCTGGCAGGCTGGCAGGCTGGCAGGCTGGCAGGCTGGCAGGCTGGCACTGCCACGTGCTCTCACCGTGGCAGGCTGGCACTGCCACGTGCTCTCACCGTGCCTGCACCTGGTATGCAAGTGGCACAAGAGGCAGGGGCAGGGGTGGTAGACAGCAGGAGGAGAGGGGCGAGGAAGAGAGGCAAGAGTGCGGAGTGAGATGAACGGGCAAAGCAGTGAGAGAGAAAACCGGGACTCGGGAGTTGGACAATGAGGGGGAGGTGAAGGCACGGCGCGGAGTGTGGGAGGGGGGGGGGGGGTGAAGGTGTGAAGAAGGGGGTGGGGAGTGTGGGGAAAGGGGGGGGGGGGGGGGGGGGGGGGGGCGTGGGGAATGGGAGAGGAGTGAGGGGAAGGGGGAACGGAGTGTGGGGAAGGGGTGTTCAAAATGAGAGAGCGCTGAGAGAGGGGTGCGGTGAGAGGGATGTGCATGAGCGAACAGGGAGCGGTGTGCGGCAGGTGGTGTGGGCAGGCGCGGCGGCACGGACCACATCGACGGGCGAGCCGATGCAGACGGCGAAGAAGCCGGCGCCGAGCCCAGCGATGAGGTGCGTCCCCACGTTGTCCCCGAAGCCCGGTACCTTGAGCAGCGACTGGCGGGTGCAGGGCAGGTCAGGGCAGGGCAGGGAGGGGAGGGGCAACGACGGATAGAGATGAGAGAGAGATTTTGAAGTGATCAGCGCATGTGGGCAGTGCAGCACATGTGAGGAGCAGTGCAGCGCATGTGAGGAGCAGTGCAGCGCATGTGAGGAGCAGTGCAGCGCATGTGAGGAGCAGTGCAGCGCATGTGAGGAGCAGTGCAGCGCATGTGAGGAGCAGTGCAGCGCATGTGAGGAGCAGTGCAGCGCATGTGAGGAGCAGTGCAGCGCATGTGAGGAGCAGTGCAGCGCATGTGAGGAGCAGTGCAGCGCATGTGAGGAGCAGTGCAGCGCATGTGAGGAGCAGTGCAGCGCATGTGAGGAGCAGTGCAGCGCATGTGAGGAGCAGTGCAGCGCATGTGAGGAGCAGTGCAGCGCATGTGAGGAGCAGTGCAGCGCATGTGAGGAGCAGTGCAGCGCATGTGAGGAGCAGTGCAGCGCATGTGAGGAGCAGTGCAGCGCATGTGAGGAGCAGTGCAGCGCATGTGAGGAGCAGTGCAGCGCATGTGAGGAGCAGTGCAGCGCATGTGAGGAGCAGTGCAGCGCATGTGAGGAGCAGTGCAGCGCATGTGAGGAGCAGTGCAGCGCATGTGAGGAGCAGTGCAGCGCATGTGAGGAGCAGTGCAGCGCATGTGAGGAGCAGTGCAGCGCATGTGAGGAGCAGTGCAGCGCATGTGAGGAGCAGTGCAGCGCATGTGAGGAGCAGTGCAGCGCATGTGAGGAGCAGTGCAGCGCATGTGAGGAGCAGTGCAGCGCATGTGAGGAGCAGTGCAGCGCATGTGAGGAGCAGTGCAGCGCATGTGAGGAGCAGTGCAGCGCATGTGAGGAGCAGTGCAGCGCATGTGAGGAGCAGTGCAGCGCATGTGAGGAGCAGTGCAGCGCATGTGAGGAGCAGTGCAGCGCATGTGAGGAGCAGTGCAGCGCACGTCCTGCCACACCTGTTTGATCTGGTCATAGCTGGCGAGCTCAGCGGCGTTGATGATGGCGTTGCGTGCGATGTTGGGCCCCACACCCGTCCACAGCGCCGCCACGCCCTCCTGCCATGCCATGCCATGCCATGCCAGCAGCCGTGAGAGTGAGCGTTCAAGGCCCATGACTAGCTTTCGACTTCGTGTCTTAGAAATACCTGTGTCCTAGAATGTCATCAAGATAACGTCATTTGAGGTTTAGAGTTTGAAGTGTTGAAAGTAGCAGTTGCATTTCTCTTTCCCATTATTGCAAAAAAGGAAGAGGGACAACGGCAAAAATGCGGAGACTGGGAAGCGTGAAGAGTGGTGGAATTGAGAATGGAGGGGAAGGGAAGAGCTCGAGGGACGCATGCGAGGAAGGAAAACCCCTCCACTCCACCTGCCATCCCGTCAGCTGCTCACCTGGCGGGCGATGGTGGCGTAGGCGTTGAGAGCACCGGAATAGCGCTTGGGCGTGCCGGGCGCCAGACGCCCCTCCGACTGCAGGCGCACCTTCACCAGATCCGTGGGGTTGGCGATTGATATGCCCACCGCCCCTGTGCATGGTGCATGGTGCATGGTGCATCGTGCATGGTGCATGGCGCATGGCGCATGGTGCATGGTGAGGAGAGAGTGAGGGCGCTTGAAGGGAGGCGGTTGTTGGGTTGGAATGATCAGAGAAACGAGCATAGCATGTGCGAACGAGCAATGGATGAGCACAGTCTAGCACGGGTGCGAGCAGGGCAGCACGGGTGGGGTGGTGGGAGGGAGCAGGGGGCCATGACACGGCACCTGTGGTGAGGGCGGCGGCGATCTTGACGGTGAGAGGCACGTCGCCCGTGTGGTCCTTGCCCACGAACAGCGCCTTCACCTGTCCGCCCCACCACGCACATGCCACGGGCAGGGCGCACAGGGCAGGGGGCACAGGGTAGGGGGCACAGGGCAGGGCGCACAGGGCAGGGGGCACAGGGCAGGGGGCACAGGGCAGGGGGCACAGGGCAGGGGGCACAGGGCACGGGGCACAGGGCAGGGGGCACAGGGCAGGGGGCACAGGGCACGGGGCACAGGGCAGGGGGCACAGGGCAGGGGGCACAGGGCACGGGGCACAGGGCAGGGGGCACAGGGCACGGGGCACAGGGCAGGGGGCACAGGGCACGGGGCACAGGGCAGGGTGCAGGGAGCAGTGGGCACAGGGCAGGGGGCACAGGGCACGGGGCACAGGGCACGGGGCACAGGGCAGGGGGCACAGGGCAGGGGGCACAGGGCACGGGGGCACAGGGCAGGGGGCAGGGAGCAGTGGGCACAGGGCAGGGGGCACAGGGCAGGGGGCACAGGGCACGGGGCACAGGGCAGGGGGCAGGGAGCAGTGGGCATGGGAGCAACAAGGAGCAGAGAAGCTTGAACATAAGTGGCAAGTCGGCGCTCATCACAGCCCCTTCCACCGCACCCTGCCCACCACCGCACCCTGCCCACCACCGCACCCTGCCCACCACCGCACCCTGCCCACCACCGCACCCTGCCATGGGCGCCGCCTCTGCCACCTTGCCACCGCACTGCAGCACTGCAGCACACTCACGGGGTCGTAGAGGGCGCATGGAGGCTCACGGGGTGGTGGAGGGCGCATGGAGGCTCACGGGGTGGTAGAGGGCGCATGGAGGCTCACGGGGTGGTAGAGGGCGCATGGAGGGTGACTCACGGGGTCGTAGAGGCCGATGCGCAGGCCGCCATAGACGCACTGGCGGTGCAGCCCCGGCACGAGCCCCTTCCACAACGCCGACAGCCCCTCCTCGCGCGCGATCGTCCCCATCGTCCCCACCATCCCGCGGTACTTCACTGCGCCCGCTGCTCCGCCCGCTCCCGCCGACGGCTTGCCCTGCAGCTGCAGGCGCACCTTGGCCGTGTCGATGGGCAGCGTGCAGAACTGCGCGCAGGGGAAGGGGGGGGGGTGGTCGCGGGGGGAACGGGGGAAGAGGAGAGGACGGGCGGTGCAATGGCCCACGCGGCTGCTGGCTACCCGAGACGCGCGTCACCCCAGCGCAGGCCACGAGAAAGGAGGTCACGCGGGGCGACGGGAATCGGGACGCGCAAAGAGGGAGTTTGCGAGGCGGCGGAGGGAGGCAGAGCGGCGAGAGACGCCGCGGATCTCACCTCGGCGAAGCACGCGGACATGGCGCTGCTAGCGAGGATGCCATAAACGGGTACGTACATCCGCTTCCCGTCCACCACTACCTCCCCGCTTCCGCCTCCTCCCCCCATTCCGCGCGATCGCGATCCGCACGGGCGCCGCAAGCCGGTCGGCAGGGGAAGAGCTGATCGCACGCGAGGCGAGCACGCGTGGGGGGAGAGCGAATGAGGAATCGAGACGGCGCGAGCACGCGGGCAGCACGCAGCGAGCTCCGTGCAAGCGGGGTTCAGCAGATTCGGGGCGCGCGAGGAAGGCTGACGCCGCGCTTATGTGGCGAAGCGATTTGGTGGCGGTGGCGAGGAGGGGCACGCAACGAGTGGAGCGGTGAGGCGTGTGTGGGTGGAGTGGCGGGAGCTGAGAGACGCACAGACTCGCGTGGTGGCGGGCGCGGTGGGGTAGAGAAGGTGGGGAGGCCGCGGAAGCAATCGAGGGGTGGAATATCGAGGTGCGCGTGGCGAGGCACGTGCAGCTCTCGATTGTGTCACGTCGGGCGCACAGTTGGCTGCCAGGTTGGCAAAAGCATGCCCTTACGCCCAGTGAGGCGGCTGTTGATTGGTGGAGAGGCTGTTTTGCTTCCAGGTTTGTGGGCTCCACGAAGTTGGGAAATGGAAAGCCTTTCGTTCGTACGCCTTCTTGGCTCGCCTCCGATTTAGGCAGGGAGAGCATAACATAGGAGATTAGTGAATGTACATCTGAAACTACTGCTAAGTAAACTAACAGCATTCCAAGGCTCCCACTTTCTAGGGTATCTGCTGAAAGCAAAAATGACTTGCTTTGTGTAGCCTTGACCTTGTGTCAGTCGTAAGCGCCAGGGCTGGATAGGCGGTACTGCCACGTGCGGCGCTGCCGCACCACGAGCTGCCAGAAGCCCTTCTCCCACGGGCCCTCCGCCCCCCACCCCCCCCCCTCCCTCCTCCACTGGGCCGCCTTCCCCGCCCTGCCCACGGCCCGCCATGGCTCTACAGCTGCGCGCGGCACCGCTCTTCACCGCGCTGCTTTCCACCAAAGAGACCTCGCCACTCTCGCACCTCGACCCGCCTTCGCTTGCATGCCATGCGTGCGCTCGTGAGCCCCCACCTCCCATGCCCACTCCTTCCATGCTCCCCGCAACACCCCTCCCCTCTCTCAACGCCCTTGCACTGCCGCCCCCTCCACTCACCTCCACCAACCGCCTCTGCTTCACCGGACTCACTGCTGCCGCCATGCCCGCCTCCACCCTCCCCTCATCCTCCGCCTTCCTCTTCTCCCCCCTCGCTCCTACCGCCGTTCCCCCCTTCTCCCCTCGTGTCAACAAGTGCCCCACGTCTCGCCTGCCCCGCCTGCTCCTCCGCCCCTTGCTCTCCCACGCCCAGCGCCACTCGTCACCGCTGCTGTTCGCACTGCCACTGCTGGTGCTGCCAGCACACCCACCGCCACCACGTGGGGCAGCAGCGCTGCCATGAGCACGGGGCGAGGGGGCAGCAGCGCCAGCAGCAGCGCCTGGCAATGGTCCCCCCTGAGTGGAGCGGCTCTTCTTGCGGCGCCGCCCGCCGTCCCACACCATCCACAGCTGCCGCCGCCGCCGCCTGCTCGCCCCTCCGCTGCACCGCTGCTGCCCCTCCTGCTGCCCCTCCTGCTGCCCCTCCTGCTGCCCCTCCTGCCCCACCATTCTGCCCAGCGCCCTTCCTGGGGAGCCCAGCGGCTTGGCAACATCCTCCCCTCGCACAGCACACACACCACCACTGCCCGCTTCAGTGCCTCCACCAGCGTCAGTGCCACCACCAGCATCCGCATCAGCACCACCACCAGCATCAGCATCAGCACCACCACCAGCATCAGCATCAGCATCAGAACCAGCATCAGCATCAGCATCAGCAGCAGCATCAACGTGAGCAGCATGAGCAGCAGCAGCGTGAGCATGAGCATGAGGGGTGGCAGAAGCAAGGGCATGGAGAGGAAGAAGAGGTGCAGATGGTTGGCAGTGGTGTCGACGCACATCCCCGCCACTATCACCTCCCCCCCCTGCACCCGCTGCTGCTGCTACCGCCTCACCTGATGATGCATCACATGGTGCGCACCCCACCTCACTCGCATCTAGTGCCCTCTCCCCACGCGCATCCCACTCGCCACGCCACTCGCCGCTTCCTCCATCTACCCTGCGCACGCCATTGCAGGCGCCACCACCCCCCTCACACCCACCCGCCCTTCCACCCCTGCCTGCACGCACCGCCCCTTCCACGCCCTCCCCTCCCCCCTCACCTCTTTCCTCACCTCCCCCCTCACCTTCCCCTTCACCTCCATCCCCTCGCACCTTCACTCCTCCCTCTCTCCCTTTCTCTGTTCCTCCCTCTCTCCCTTTCTCTGTTCCTCCCACTCTCCCTTTCTCTGTTCCTCCCTCTCTCCCTTCATCCATGCCTTTTCCCTCGCTTCCCTCCTCTCCGTCCTTCCCTCCTCTCCGTCCTTCCCTCTTTCCTTCCCTCTAACCTCCTCCCCTTCATCCCCTCCTTCCTCCACTCCTCCCTCCCCTCTTCCCTCCCCATGCCCCTCCCCACTTTCTTCCCCATTTTCCTCCCCACTTTCCTCCCCACTTTCGTCCCCACTTTGCTCCTTTCCGTCCTCCCCTCTTTCCTCCCCACTTTCCCCCCTTCTTTCCTCTCCTCTTTCCTCCCCTCTTTCCTCCTCTCCGTCCTTCCCTTCTTCCTCCTCTCCTCCATCCCTTCTTCCATCACTTTCCTTTTCTCTTCCCTCCCTTTGTCCCTCCCCACTCTCCTCCTGTCTGGCTTCCCCTTCTTCCTCCTCTCCTACCCTTATTCTCTCCTCCCCACTTTCCTCCCTCCTTTCCTCCTCTCCTACCTCCCCTCCTTCTTCCCTTCCCTCCTCTCTTCCCTCCCTTTGTCCCTCCCCGCCTTCCTCCTCTCCTTCTTCCCCTCCTTCCTCCTCTCCTACCTCTCCTCTTTTCTTCCCTTTTTCCTCTTCTGAATGCTTCCCTTGCTTCTCCTTTCCTCCCACCCTTCTATCCTCCGCTCCTCCTTTCATTCCAATCTCCTCCTGTCCTCCCTCCCCTCTTCCCTCCCCTCCTCCCTCCCCTCCTTCCCCCTCGCCCTCCACTCGTCCCCAGCGCCCTTCCCCGTCCGCCGTCTCACACATCGCCATGTCTTTCTCTAATCGCCTCCCTGCTGACGGCACCATGGCATCGCCCCCATCCACCACCCCTGCCAGCGCTGCCCCATCGCTGCTCCCCACCTGTCTCCCATCACACCCACTCCGCCCCCCGCTGCTGCTGCATCCCAATCCCATCTCCCCACAGCACCGCTCTTCACCGCTTCCTCCCTCCCAGCACCTCTCTTCACCCACGCTTTGCCGGCCACTGCACGCCATCTGCTCACCCACTGTACCTTCCCCCCCTCCATCCTTCCCCTTCCCATCCTCCCTCCTCAAATCCCCCCCCGCCTCCTGCTGCTGCTGTGACAACGCCCCCACCGCCCCAAAGGCATCCTCGTTTTGCTCCACCTCATGATCGCCATCCAACCCCTCCTCCTCCCCCGTCGCCCGCCCTCCCTGCCGCTGCTCAACAACCCTTCCCTCGTCTGCCTCGCTCTGCCCCTCCTCCTCTTCCCCCCCACCGTGCTCGCGCCCCTCCACCCTCGCCGGCCCTACCAGCTGCTGCCACCGCCCCCCACCACACCCGCCCACCTTGCCCACACTACTCGCTGCCTCTCTTTCTCCCCCTCCCACCACCGCCCTATGCACTCCTTTTCCTTCTCCCTCTCCCCCACTCCCCACTCCGCCTCCCCCCCCATCCCACGGCCCGTCCACACGGCCATCAGCGGCCACGGCAGAGCGGCGCTCAGCCAGCACAGCGGCGCGGGAAGCGCTGGGAGGAAGCAGGGCGCGGGGCGTGCAGGTGGGGGGTGGTGGGGGGCAGGCCGCGGAGGCAGCAGGCGGGGAAGCAAGCAAGGCGGGTGGGGGGAGGTGAAGCAGAGAGGCGGCAGGCGGGGGAGCAAGCGAGGGGGGTGGCGCGGGCAGCAGCAGCACGTCCAGCGCTGTCATGTGGCCGCGCTGCCCTCGCTGCACCTTCTCCTCCGCGCCCGCATTCGCGTTCACGTGCCTGTGCCGCGCTGCACTGCTGTGAATCGCACCGCATGCCCCCCCCGGTGCCATGGGATGGGCGTGCGGGGGAGCGGGAGAGGGGAGGGCCGGGGGTGGGCAGGCAGCACGCCCCCTTGTGGGAGGGCGCTGGCCGCGCTGCTCCCATGCCCGCCCCTCTGCTGCCCTCACAACACCGTGAGCTGCTGGGCGTGCATGGTGAGCACACACGGCGGTCCCTTGTGTGACCTGTACCGCTGCCACCTGCTCCCCCTCACCACGCATGTCTTCACCCTGCTGCATCTTGCACGCTTGGCTAGGGTGTGGCAGAGGCACGTGGGGCGGTGGCAAGCAGGGTGGTGCAGGGCAGGCGGCACGGCTGTGCTGCTCACTGAGTTGCTGGCCATCATGGCACGCACGCCTGCCCCATGGCATCTCACCACCTCCATCTCTCACACCACAGTCACTGCCACCACACTGTGCTTCCTCGCCCTCCCCTGTGCCACACCACATATTGCCACCACATGCCACGTCACCACATGCTATATCATTGCATGGCTTGTCGTCAATGTCACGACCACAATGCGTGCCGTCACTGAACCCCTCGCCACCGCTCTCAATGACCGCACCCATTCCTCCCACAGTACGCCCTCCTCCTGCTTCCTCCGCCTCCCCATTCTTCATGTCCGCCCCCTGCCCTCCGCCCCCCCCACCCCCAACCACCCACCCCTCCCCCTCAAATCCCCCGCGGAACCCCTCCAGGTCATGCTCGTTAGAGAGTGATTCGATATCCGCCACGTCCTCATCCCACCGCGCCGGTGCCGCTGCTCCCAGCGCTGCCAGCACGCCCGCTGCCGCTGCTGCGCGCCCTGCCATCGGGTGCTCCTGGGGCGGGCGTGCAGTGCGGTGGGGCGCGATGCGGGAGGCAGAGAGAGCGGTGTGCAGGCGCAGGGCGAGGCGGTGGAGGGCGGGTGTGTGGCGGCGCAGCGAGATGACGCGCAGGGCACCACAGCGACACGCGTGGTTGATGCTGGCTGCCACGTGCATGGCGCAAGGGAAAGGGGGAGGGGAGGGGCGGGGAAGAGATGGTTGAGCGGGGAAGGCAGAGGTAGTGGTGAGCGGGGAAGGCAGAGGTAGTGGTGAGCAAGGGGGTGGAAGGAGAACGGTTGAGGGATGTGGCAGCGGGTGCAGAGCGGAGGGCGAGGGATACAACGTGGGGCAATGTATGCATGGTGCATGTCAGTCCTGTGGCTAGCCCATGGCCGCACTCAAGCGTGCCCGCGTGCATGCACGCACCATGGTGCAGGCAGATGGGGTCGCGCACACAGCAGCACGCCACCACGGCCAGGTGGCACAGGCGGCAGCACAGCGAGCACGGCACCGCTGCTGACAGCCCCGGCAGCACCGCCACCACGGCCGAGCGCTGCTCCATCCACGCCTGGATGCGCCTCTCCTCGCCCACCAGCCGCACAAACTGCTCCACTGCGCTGCGCCCCACCCGGCCAATGGCCGCCAGGCAAGGTGGGGTGACGTCAATGGCATCGATGGCTTGAATAGCGTCAGTGGGGTCAATCGAGTCAGTGGGGTCAACAGGGTCAACAGGGTCAACGGGGTCAACGGGGTCAACGGGGTCAGTTGGGTCAACGGGGTCAGTGGGATCAGTAGGGTGAGCAAGGCCCACAGGGTGAGCAGGGTGAATGAGGGCGAGGGGTGTGGTGGAGGCAGGAGGGTAAGAGGGGTGAGTGAGGTCAGCAGTGTCAGCGGTGTGAGTGGAGGGAGGCGGGTCAACAGCGTGAGCATGAGACTCACTGCCCTCCTCACAGCGCCCTATCTGTGTGCCACCGCCACTGCTGCTTGCCACGCCACCAGGCGCTGCTGCCGCTGCACAGGCAGGCAAGTCAACGCGGTCAACGCGGTCAGCAGGGTCAGCAGGGGGCCCCGGGCCGCTCTCCTTGCAGGGCGAGAACACCACCACTGCATGCCGTGCCGCCTTCTCTGCCCTCCCCCCTCCCCCCTCCTCCTGCCCCTCCTGCCCCTCCTCTCCCCCCCTCCCGTGTGTCCTCGCTGCACTCCCACCCCCCTCCGCCTTCTCCAGCCCTGTGCTCGCCTCTTTCTCCGCATGCTCCTCATCCTCCCCCGCACCCCCCTCGCCCCCCTCGCCCCGCCTGCATGCCAGCAGCGCCACCACGTGGCGGCACAGCAGCTCCTCCCAGCACAGCAGCGGCGGGCGGCGCAGCACGGCGTAGCGGCGGGCGGCAGCAGCAGCGAAGGGGAACCAGTCGGGCGGCGCGAAGTTGACCGCCTCGCCACAGTTGAAGCCTGGGGGGTGGGGGGGGCAAGGGGGGTGCACGAGCATAGGGATGAGCACATGAGAAAGGTGGGGGAGAGGACGGATGAGACAGGGGGAGAAGCAGTGAAGAACGTGAAGTGACTTCCACATGTGCTGCTATAGGGAGTGGGCTGCATATGCACGCGCTTACACGCACGTGCCACTGCCCGCATGCCACACATCACACACACAGCAGCATCATCACCACCACCACCGCCGTTTCCCCTCACCATGGCTGAACCCAGCATGGTACGAGCGCGGGTACGTCACCACGAACTCCCCCGCCGCCTGCACGGCACGCACCACGGGCACGCCATGCGGCAGCAGCAGGCGCGGCGAGAACATGCTCGTCTTTCCCATCAGCAACGCGCACGCCCGCCCCACCGCCCCGCCCCCCCACCTCCCCTGCTCGCCCGCCCCTGCATCACCCACGCTCTCCGCCTCGCCCACCCCACAGCCGCTCGCCCCCTCCCTCTCCTCGCCACTCCATGCACCCACCCCTCCCCCACCCATGCCCCTCCCTCCACGGCCCCGCCCTCCTCGCCCTCCCCGCCCCCCCCTCCTCTCCCCCCACCCGCCCCCTCGCCCATGCGTCCGCCCCTGCTCCCTGCACGTGCCCCTCTGCCCGCGCCCTCCGCCCCTCACCTCCCCCGCGCCACCACCCTGCACAGCCGCGCCCCTCCCCTCCGCCCCGCCTGCCCCGCGCACCCTCCCTGCCTCCTCCTCGCTCTTCACAACTCCACTAGGGTCCCGATCCGCACGCCCCCCCTCGCCCCGCTCCACCAGGCTGCCCCCATCGCCCTGCCCCTGCCCCCCCCCCTGGCCGTACACGTGGCGCATGGCGAGGGCCTCAAAGGCATGCGCCGCCATGGCGGGCACGCCGTACCACGTCTTGGGCGCGCCCATGTGCTGGTAGTTTATGCTGGGGGGGGGGAGGTGCCAAGGTGGGGAGAGGTGGACGCAGTAGGATGCAATGAAATGAGGTGCGATGGGATGGGATGGGATGGGATGGGATGGGATGGGATGGGATGGGATGGAAGAATTAAGGGACAGGGAGCAACCCCCTATGAGCAGGTTTGGGACAAGCACCAGCGCACAGCACATGCACGCCTCCCTGTGCTCTGTGTGCCACTCCCTTCCATGCCATGGCCTTCACAGCACGGCACAGCAGCACGGCTCACAGCGCCACAGCTCGGCACAGCAGCACGGCTCACAGCGCCACAGCTCGGCACAGCGCGCCATGGAGCGCGTACCTGTAGAGGTAGTGGTCCTCGACGTGCCCACCTGTAGAGGTAGTGGTCCTCGACGTGCCCACCTGTAGAGGTAGTGGTCCTCGACGTGCCAGGCGAAGGTGCTGAAGAGCATCCCCACGTACAGCATGGGTTCCGTCACGCCCTGCCGTGGCGGTGGGGGAAGGGGGGGGGGGGGAGAAGGGGTGACCAGGATGCAGAGAGGCAGGGCGGTGAAGGAGGGCGGGGAGGGTGAAGGGGCGATGGGATGATGGGCGGGTGAAAGATGGTGGGCGGAAAGGGGCTGGGGGGAGAAACGGGGGGTGGTTGTAGGAGTTGGTGGGGATGAAGGCGAGAGTGAGTGCAGCGATCAAAGACAGCAGCTCGGTTGGATGCGGTGAAAACACGCAGGAGGGACAGAGAGGAGAGAGCACATGCTCTCTTGGGACATGCAGGGTGGACGCGGCAGGGGGGAGGGGCAGGGGGGAGGGGCAGGGGGGAGGGGCAGGGGGGAGGGGCAGGGGGGAGGGGCAGGGGGGAGGGGCAGGGGGGAGGGGCACTAACGGGGATATCGACGGGCAGGCGGCGCAGCACAGAGGCAGGCAGACGCGGCAGCAGCTGATGGGGGCAAGGCGAGGCGGGGTTCAATGTTGGGAGAGGACGGGAGAGATGGGCGGAGAGAGGTAAAAAGGACGAGTGAGGGGTGTGGTGACAAGGCATGCAGTGCAGGTGAGAGGCAGAGAGGTGAGCGGGCTATGCAGTGGTGGGCAGAGCATGCGGTTCACACGTTGAGGTTCCATCCAGACGAGGCGAGGGGGTCGCGCGGGTCGCAGCTGAACCCCGTGCCGTCCACGTCGCTGCCGTACTCCACATGCGCCACCCCCCGCCCCCCGCGCGCCCCTGCGCCCCCAGCCCCCCCCTCCGCCCCTCGCCCTCCGCCCTTGTTCCTCTCCGCGTGCCCCCCTGCCTCCCTGCCGCCGCCCTCCATCTCCTGCCAGTACAGCTGCTCCACCATGCCAGCTGGAAGCGCTGCTGACGTGGCGAATCGTGTGGCCAGGAAGCGATCGGCCTTGCGCTCGAACTCGGGAAGAGAGTAGGTTCTGTTGGCGGGCGGGGAGGTGGAAGGGTGGGCGTGAAGGGAGGGGAGGATGAGGGCGAGAGAAGCGAGGCGTGGGACACGGACAGGGAGGAACGAGGCGTGGGACACGGACAGGGAGGAACGAGAGGGAGGAGCGGTGGGTGGGGCAGTATCGTGAACGTATCGTCGCCACGTCACCATGCAAGGGCAGCGGCGGGGCTCACCTGCCGCTCATGCGGAAGGCGGGTGGGTCGCCATGCGCGCACGCCGCCACGCGCACGGGCTGCTCGCGCGTGGTGAAGCGGAAGGGGCGCTTCTGCCCGCGCTGCAGCACGTGGCCCGCGGGCACCGTGGGCAGCACGGGCGGCACGATCTTGCAGATGCCTGCACGGGGGGTGGGGTGAGGGCAGGGGGCGGGAGAGGGGCCAGGACGGGAGGGGAGGGGAGCGAAGACGTGGGGAGGGCGCGACCGTTGGTCTTTACGGGTGGAACGGTGCTCCGTGTCTGCCCCGCTGCATTGCCTGGCCCGCGTGCATGCGCGCAGCTGCGCAGGGGGCGGGTTCGCGAGCTGCAGCGCAGCCTGCTTGCCTGCACGGGGGTGCTGGTGGGAGGGAACGGGAGGGGAAAGTGAAAGGTGGCAAACGCGTGCACGACCGCCGGTGTGTCCACGTGTCACCGAAACAAAACTGTGACGAGATCATCACTTCGCCAGTCACTACAATGTGACTTTCTGTACGAGAATTCGCAAGTTAGACGTGACATTTCTGTGACATTCGGCCCTTGCGTTTTCCGCGATGGAATGCGGCTGTGGGGATGGACTGGGTCTCTGGAGGGACGAGGGGCGAGGCGGAGGAACTGGGAGCAGCGACGTCGGCAGGTCGAAGCGCGTCAGCGAGTGGGCGGGGTTCTCACGCGCCGCGGAGTGGGAGGCGGAAGGGGGGGAGACGAACACGAAGAGGAGAGGGCAGAGGGGTGCGGAGTGAGCGGGAGCGCGCGGGGAGCAGGGAGGGCGGCCTTCCGTGGCGTGACCGAGCCGCGACGACCACCTCTCAGCCGCAGAGACCTTGGCGTGACCTTCCCACGCGCCATGAGCCGAGCGTCGGCTGCAGCGGCAACTTCGCCTCTACCCGTCCCCCCCTCACTTGCTCTCCCACCCAGCGGCGGTTCGTCGCTGGGAGGGGCGGCGCGAGCTGAGCGCGACCAACGCCGAAGGGCGTCGACTCTCGCGGTTGCATCGTCGGCCCGCGGCCGTCACGGGCGGCGAACCACGCACGAATATCGCGTGGGTCCATCCCGGTGCGCCGCTTCATCCCTCGCTCACCACACCACGACCGCCTCTCCGCCCGCTCTCGCGCTCGTTAGCGCGTCGCTAACGAATTTTGGTAACTCTGAACGGCGGAATAAACGCATTTTAGAGTTGCGTTGAATCCAACTCATTCTACCGCGATGCCCCACCGGGCCGCACCCGTTAGTGGCGGCTGGAAGGACCGACAATGTCCACCTACCGTGCAGCGAGGCCCACCCACAGTGCAGCGAGGCCCACCCACCGTGCAGCGAGGCCTCGGGGCGAATATTCTCGATGTACGCGAGCGGATCGCGGAACTCGTCCTCCGTCGGGTAGTACACGGGGCACTCGGGGATTCGCCGAATCCAATCGTGATCGCCCATCCCGTCACAACGCCTCTAACAAAAGCTGACGGCTCGCAGAGTTTCGCACATGCAGTTCGATAATGATGGTTGCGCGCTCTAATCGCACGTGCTGAGGATCGTTCTTCTACCCACGTAGCGTGGTTATCGCGGCTCGTTCACGGTTCTCGCGGCCAATGACCTCGCCGTCCGCGAGCAGCGATGAAGCTCAAACGACGTAGCTTTATCGCGGCGAGTGCTGGCGTGTAGCTAAGGGATGCGTGGCTTGATGTCGCTATGGCTACGCTGAACGCTCCTCGGGCTCGAATGGGGTAGCGGATAACACTCAAAGCTGCAGCTTTGGCTTCTAAATCGCGCATCGTGTGCGTCCATCTCATCTCAATCGTCTTGCTTCCAAATCTACTGCACTTGCTGTCTTCAGGCCTGGCGGCCGACAAGAGGGTGTGGTGGAGCAAGCTGGGGGGGAGGGAGGCATTTTCGGCAGCCTCCAGTCCAGCCTCCACCACCACTCGATCGACTCGACTCGACGACACCACACGACCTGCGCCATGCTTTCATCCATTCAATTCCGAAGCTGGAAAGCTGATGGCTCGGCTCAGGTTAATTCCGAACCACTCGGTTAGATTAGGAAGCTTTCTGGGTGTTGATTGCTCCTGCGCTGCGCTGTGCCGCGTTTGGTACTGTATCACAACGCCAGCGCGGTCCGCCTTGTTCTCTGGACGGTCCGAGTCAGCTCAGTTGGTCCGATCGACCAGGCACACCCAGTCGAGAAATGCTGCCGTGCCATCCGAAGGTAGAGCCGAACCAACTTTCGAACCTGTCTGACCTCACCTTCTGGGCCAATCACCTTCCAGCAAACCGAGAGGCAGGTGATGTGACAAATGGTTCACGAGAGGTCGCTTCGCCAGCTGCCCCTCACCTTTGTGACGAAGCCGACAAACGCGACGAAGATTTGGGTCTGGTTTGGTTCGCCTGGCCAACTTGATGGATGGACTTGGCTCGAAGCTCCAGCTGCGCCAAACAAAATCTCGGTTCACATCGCATCTAACCGCATTCGTCCATTTATCAAACGAGCAATTGCACCAGTTCGACACGTCAACGTCCGTGTGATGGAATAGTGTTCGTTAGCGGGAGTCGCGAAACTTCGCTTTTGTCGGCTATGGGCTTGCCTGATTAGCATGAAGGGAATCGAGGAAAGTCAACGATGGCCGGCCAGCGCGCCAAAAATCTTGTGATTACACGTCCTTCAAGTTACAAAAAAATCGACAAAACACCTTGACAAATTACTGAAACTGAACAACGTCAAGACCGCCATGGCGTTTGTGAGGCGACTCAAAACCTTCAATGTCTATCTTACCCCGCAAAAGTGTAAGGAAAATTCCTTTTCCGTACTTCACGCCCCTGCTTGACGCGAACACGACTGTTCCCGACAACAGCACCCCACAGTAAAACGTTACCCGCACGCGACACCCGCCTCGATCACTGTTCCCTCCACTGTGCACATCGCGACCCAGCCTCACGGTTCGGTTGGTAACCCGCGCTCCGGTCATCCGCCTCGACAATTCTTGTCGAAGAGAAAAGGCCCCGCCCTCGCTTGGTCGAGGTAGACCATGCTTCCGGGAGGACAACGGTGTGCAGACGGCTTCTTTTCGTGGTCATGAGCGAATTTGGGGACTTTTATCTGTGTGCGGCGAGCCGTCTGTCGACGAGACTAATTGTCGAGGTAGAAGTGTTTCTTCTGCGCGACGAAAGTACCAGTCGACGAGGCGCTCCTCGACGGGAGTAAATCGGCGTCGAAGACGAGCTTCGCTGGTCAACGGAATTGGCAGAATTGGCGTTTCGACGGATCGGTGGTCGACAGAATTGTGCTCGACGAGTGCATCGTCGAGCAGAGCGTTTCAGGTCGACCTCAAGGACTTGTCTCCGAAATTCGCAATGTACGCGAATTTCGACCAATCGCGGAACAGCAAATTTCGACCAATCAGGTAATCTCGGAAATTGTACTCCCCAGGAGAATTCGAATCTGCTAATGAACAGAACCTGAAACACGTTTTTGCAAACTACAAAAACGTATACAACTCTGAATGTTGTAAAACCTGAGCAACTGCCAACTCACGTGAAAGATGCATGTGCTTGTCGTTTCACCTGCCGTTGCTGGCTAGACAAAGTCAAGTGTATGCCAAGGAACATTATCTTCAGGGTTCTGTCTTCTGCTATTTGGATCTCTTTGCTTGTATTCTAATCTTGTTCTATCAACTTTTCTTAGTGAAACTATGCTTGAATTCTACTAAGGCATTCTAACACTCTGTCAAGAATCACTGCCAGAACTCTGACCGTGCGTCCCACGCAATTCAGCTCTCCCGTAGAATAGCATTCTCCGCATGGTGCGGTGAGCGTGGAGGGACCCGCGTTAGAACCTTCAGATAGCCGATATTTGCGTTCATTACCTAAGTTGTTGTAGGCCGGTAGCCGTCTAGACCGCCATGGTCGACCCTGTAGTCGAAGCAGGCGTAGATGATATCCTGCAGGCGAGAGAGGCTGATGTTCGGGCACGCCACGAGGCTGGCGATTATGGCGAGGCGGACTTGGAGATTCTTCTCTTTGGAACTCGTGCGCAGTGGGCGCGTGAGCATCCCCCTCCCCATGCAGAAGCGGACGGTGCGTCCGCCTCCCCCCGACCCGTGCACAACGAAGGTGATGGCGGCAATGTTGTCGGCGGTGGAAGCACGAGGGTTCGCGGAGTGATTCTGCCCGCCGACGTCAGCATTGGCGGAGTGCAGGCGCAAATGCTGCATTCGTCTGCGACTGGGGGCAGCTCGAACGGCAACATCGATGGTCGACGTCAATCTCCTCTGCGGAGTGGAATCAGGCCGACTTCGGCGACTCATGCGTCAGCTGGTCGAGACGGAGGCATCGCCCCGGCGTACGGATATTTTAAAATTTCGCCGGACAAGATCGCTGTGCCGAAGCCACTCGAAGGTCGACACGACTTGATCACGTGGATTAAATCCATCGAGCCTCAGCTGGAGATCGTCGGATTGAAGAAGTTCGTCGACGGCAATGTTGAGACGCCGGACGCAGACGACTCTGAACTCTGGGCGGAATTTCGCGCTGCTCATATACTGACCTTCATGGTCATTTCGAGGTGTTGCTCGCCTCTGGTGCATGTCGCATTGAAGTCGTGCAGACAACGCGTGGATGCTGGCTACCAAGCGTGGCAGTACATCATGCGCACCTACAAAGCGACCGACGACCTCTACATCAGTCAACTGGAGAAGAAGTTGACCAACATTCGTATGGGAGAGTAGGAATCGGCGACCGAGTACTGCAATCGAGCACGGCGAGTTTTGGCCGATCTGCGGATGGCCGGCGTCGACTACTCGGTGGCGTCGTATGTCACTCATGTCATCAGTGGCCTCCCTTCGGGCTACAATCTGATGCGCCGGATGCTGACAGTTCCCGACACGCGCGAGACTCTGAACGAGGACTCACTTTCGAGCCACATCATCCAGGACGAGTTCATGCAGGAGTCCGAGATGTCCGCAGATTTGCTTCCGCAGGCCCACTACGTCGCCCCGGCAAAGCAGGGACGCCAACAGGGGCAGCGTGGGCAGTCTGGCGGAGGCGGTGGCTGGAATTCGTCGAAACACGAAGTCGACGGAGGGTGCAGACCGCGGGAAGTCGGCGAAGGGAGGTGATCGCGGTGGCGGTGGCTCGCGTCGAGAAGGACGGCGCTGCTACATCTGCGATGCGCCCGACCACCTCTCGTATGACTGCCCCGATCGCAAGAAATCTGACGACGATGACCACAAGGGAAGCCGCGGGAAGTCTGTCGACGGTCGTCGACGCCGCGACAACCAGCCGCGCAAGGAGAAGCAGGCGCCGAAGTCGTCTTCGACGAAGGATGCTGACTCCTCTGGCGGCAACACTCGTGGCGAGGAGGCTTCGTGCTCGATGGTCGACGTGGTGGAGCCGACGATCTTGCTGGCGCTGGAGGCTGGCGAAGACTTCAAGGCGGTCGCTGCTGCTGTGCAGGCCAATCCGACTGTCGTGCTGCTCGACAGCGGCTGCTCCCACCATTTGATGGGGACGAAGGAGGCCTTCGTCGACATGCAGCCGAGCGGCGACGTTCGCCACGTCCGCGGCTTCAACGGGGCACTTCAGAGCGTCAAAGGCAAAGGCACCGTTGTTCTGCAAGGGGAGGCCGGGAAGCAGGTCCTCGTCCCCGACCTACTCTACGTTCCGGGTGTTCACACGAACCTGCTGTCTGCTGGCCAGCTCAAGGAGAACGGCGTGAAGCTACAGGACGACGGCGGAGAGATGCTGCTGGTGTCTTCTGTCGGCGATAACCTTGGTCGAGCACGCTACTCCGGCAGAGTACTCTGCACCGACCTGCGCCCCTGCTCGACGAAGTCGACGACGACTTCGACGGAGGTTGTGGC